AAGCCACTTTGAGTTGATATTGGAAATTATTCCCTACTGTCTTTTTAGATGATTGTATTATTTCAAACCACTCTGTTTTAACTATTGTTTTTAATTCTAATTTTAAAAAATCTGTCTTGTACTACAGACCCAATAATTTTGCTATGTACTTCAGAGTTTGACCAATTCATGCGACACGCCCCCCTCAATAGTCTGTATCTTGGCTTCTGGCTTAAACAATAAAAATAAACACTAGAAAGGAGTTCAACACAGTCTCTAGTGTTGTACCAAGGGGAGAAAGCAAAAGGCAATGTTAGTATTTGTGTGTTCTTTGTGTTTGCATTTATACTGTGGAGTTCTGTGCTAATAAAAACTGTTTGAGGGCTTCCTTATAATAGCTATCTGCTGTTTTCATTTCTGAGTTAAAGGGAATAAACTGATTTTATTTTAAGGAAATAAAATAAGATCCAAATTTTAAGAAAGAGTGTAGCTTCAAAGGAAAATTCAACTTATTAGAGAGGCACAATGCTAACCTGGAGAGGTATCACACTCACACACATACACACTCCACACTCACACACAGAGAGATAAACAATGCTGACATGGAGAGATATCACACTCACGCACACACACACTCACACACACACACACACACCGGGGCTATCAACAGGAATATGGGTGAGGGGTTACCTACAGTGTCAGGAATGACTCAAAGACAGCAGCATCACAGAAGGCCCAGCTCAGCATGGCTGACACCTTCTGAAAGTTTGCAGCTCACTGCAGGGCATTCAGATCGCTCAACAGGTCAGCATGTTGGAGAGTGCCTTTAGGCAGGCTGACTGATCTGCAATCCTTGCAGTCACTCGGCTGCTTTGTCCTTTTAGTTACTCTTTACTGTTTATGAAACCCTGGGGAGGGAGGAGAGAAGATTTGCTCAGTTTCAGGGCTTCCTGAAACTTCTGTGTTGTTCTCCTGCTTTAGAGCTTCCTAAGCTTCAGAAGAAAGTGCTATTCAGGTAGGAAGACCTGGGTATCCCTCCCTGTTGGCTATTTCTCCACAGCGTCCTACCTAGTTCTCATAAGTTATTGTACTAATAAAGTGTCTAGAATCTGGGAAGTCAAATTGGGGTTATCCCTCACCCCAGGTCAAATCTCCTGTGGAATGTTAGTGTTTAGATAGCTTTGACTGTTACTAGAGAGATATTTTGAAATTATGTATCGATCCATATATGTTCCTATGTGTACGTAAGTCTCACATGTGAATATGTATACATATATGTATGGGTGATTGTAAACATTTTTGTCTAAAGTGAGTGTTTTTTAAAAATTGGTACTATACAGACTTTTAAATATTAATTTTATTCAGACACTTAAGCTTAAGGCAATTTCTTAAAAGCTTAAGCCATTTCTCCTTCTTTTATTTCTGTTACTGTGATTAACACCATGGCCAAAAGCAACTGGGGGAGGGAAGGATTCATTTCATCTTATAGTTTACAGTCCAGCATTGAGAGAAATCAGGGAAAGACCTCAGGGAGAGGCCATGGAAGAACAGTACTTACTGACTTGCTCTCTATGGCCTGTTTAGCCAACTTCTCATATCACCCAAGAACACCTGACAGGGGTGGCACCGCTCATACATAGGAGTCTTGGTCCTCACATATTAACCATTGATCAGAAAATGCTCCCACAGTCTTACTTACGAGCCAACCTGATGGAGTCAGTTCTCAATTAACATTGCCTGTTCCCTGATGATTCTAGCTTGTGTCAAGAAAACAAAAACTAACCAACCAGCGCTCTCTTTTAAATCCATTTTTACTTTATATTTTTATAGTAAATTTGGGATATCAAGCATGTGTAGAATTAGTTTTTAAGACAGGATCTCACTGTAGCCCTGGCTGGCCTAGAACTCTGTACATAGACCAGACTGACCTCATATAAGAGGTCTGCCCGTCTTTGCCTCCTGAGTGCCAGGATTTAACTGTGCACCACCACGTCTGGCAAGTTTGCATTTTCTGATCACACTTCAGCAGGATTTCATGTTGTTTTGATCTTATATTTTCAGTAAAATTTATATCATTTTCTCGTGTCTTCACCTCAATTGTAATCATTTCTAAAAGAAAAGATGGAGTATGATGTTTTAAAAAAAGTATAACCCATGATGGTTTGAGTCATAAGATAATAAAAACAACTGAGAGCTTGTCCATAAAAACACTTTCCTATAAAAACATCTATCATGTGTTTTTGTCAGTGTTGCTTTATATTACTAGGAAAATTGCCTATAAAATGGGACTGTTCAGCGTCTTAGAGAGGAATGTAAGAACACATAGCCTTTGTGTGCCTGCAGTGTGGTCTGGTGCCCTTTTTTGAACTTAAACCAGGTTGAAAATGAAATTCCTTCTAACATTCCACAAGAGTGAGATATTAGCTTTACAATGGGAATAAGTATCTCCAGTAAGTGGAAAGCCTCTGAATTTCTTTTTGTGAATGGCATGCATGCATGAGGCGTGTGGTATACAGGTGTGTGGCCTTGAGCCTCATGTAGAAACCAGAGCAGGATCTGGAGTGTCTTCTGTTGGCGTCTGCTTTACAGCCTTGAGACAGGGTCTCTCCTGAACTGAAGCTTACTGTTGGCCAGCCACTCTTTTGGGATTTATCTCTCTGTCACCCAGTGCTGAGATTATGTGGAATCCGTCTCTCTGCCACCCAATGTTGGTATTATTTGGGAGCCGTCTCTCTTTGCCACCCAATGCTGAGATTATATGGGATCCATCTCTGCCATTCAATGCTGAGGTTATAGACACACAAAGCCATACCCAACTTTTATTTGGGTGTTGGGGAATTGAACACAAGCACTCAGGCTGACAAAGCAAGTACGTTTTCCCATTGAGGCATCTCTCTAGCCCCAAACAGATGAAATTTTAAAGACTGTGTTACCCGATGAGATTGCCAGGAGAGGAGGAGGTAGATAGGACACCTCTGGGTGCTCCAGGCATAGGAGGAAGGCCACTAAAAGGCTAGCAGGGCCAGCCAAGCAGGGTAGCAGTACAATTTTGAAGACTTCTAAGGTCTTTGTTTTGCCCAGTTACTTTATCTACTATACACTTATAGTAGGGGCCAATCACTGTAGCCACTGCTCTGGTAAAGTGTTCAGTTCAAGAAAGAAGAGGGGGCTTATTCAGACTCCCTGTGCTGGGCAGCTGTTTCTGTGCTGAAATGACATCATTCTAAAGGAGGTTTTGTGTTTTATTCTCTTGGTCAAAAAACTTCATTCTTCAATGACTTTATTCATTCTCCTTGGGATTACTCAGTGTTTACGCTCTTTGCTAATGGCAGGGTTCTCATAATGGCATGCTGTTTCTTGTTCAGAGATTGGCAGACTTGAAGTCTGGTTTTTATTTCTCCAGGAAATTTGAATTTTGTGGAAGCAAAACAATGTTTTTATTGGAAGAACTTTAGATCCTGGTCTAGACTTTTGCACATACCTCTTCAGTACTCTATGAAGTAGAAGTCATAGGTCTGTGATTTTTTTTTTAAGTATTATTTGTAGAGGGCTGCCCCTTACATGTCCTGCTGTCGGCAGTAAAGTGTGCCCACACTTGTGGATGTGGACGTCACTAAGGAGTTTCTGATGATGTTTCAGGATGTGAACAAATAGCCAGTGGAGCTACGTTTGCAGTTTATGAAAACCCCCTTCTAAGTCCTAATAAAAGTGCACATAGATTTTTTTCCTTTGGGTGTGAAATCCTGCATCTCTTTTAGGTTAAAAAAGCAAACAAAAAAGAAGCACACGTTTGTATTTGCCTTTCTTCTCAAGATTGATGATACACTTGAGTTTCCTGTCAAATGACTACTAAGCAGTGTTCCAAGTAACTTACTACCCTCCCACATCACCTGGAGCACATAGAGGACCCACTGTTGGTGTGTTTCCCTGGGGATTATTTTGAGCAAACCTAAGAGCCTGTGGGATTATAGTAGTCTTCCTCTAAAAAGTGATAGGGAAGTTCTAAGGAGATCAGAGGGTGCGGGTGCTGTCTGCGTGCGTGGTGTGTGTGTGCATCTGCCTGCCTTTCTGTCTGTGCATGTTTGTCTTTGTGTATTTGTGTGTGTGCATGTATGTTTATGTTCATGTGTGCTGTGTATGTGTTTGTGCCTGCTGTGTGTGTGCATATGTGTCTATATGTCTGGGAGAAAGAAAGATTATGAGGGAGGTTGTAAATGCACAGGTGAAGGAAATGTTGTGAGTCAAATTACTAACCAGTATGCTCACTAACATACCTGTAGATATTTCTTAATGAATGTATACTTTAGTAGGAGGATAAACTATAGAAATTTATTAGGACTTGGCCCTTGATATCTTGGAATTAACCTTTGAGAGAGAATCTTACATGCACACACACACACACACACACACACACAGAGAGAGAGAGAGAGAGAGAGAGAGAGAGAGAGAGAGAGAGAGAGAACCATAGATTACTCGGCAAAGAAGTATGAAGTATGAGATACCCTTGTTGCTGCTCTGAGTCCATCCTAAGAAGCTCAGGGACATGTCATGATGGGTTAGAGTGGTAGTTAGTGACAGAACTACTCTGTCTTACAGAGAAGGCAGGGCCAGCTCGGCTTGAATGGAAAAAGGATTAGAAACAGCAACAGCAAATCGGACACCCTGAGAAGACAGGACACAGTCATGGCTCTAAACTAAGCACAAAATCAGCATCTGGGGAGACCCTAAAAGGATGCTGGCTGGTGAAAGAGAGGTGCTTCAGTCAGTTGAGGAGGACAGATGTAGTCACAAGCTCCAATCACGGGGCATTTATAGATCTGGGAAGTTACATATGCTCACATTTTTATACTTTATATTTCTCTGCGACAAGTAAGCAGTGCCAAGTGTTTAAAGGTGGCCTCAGATTTAATGTGGGTGTCGTACTGGTGTTTGCGAGTGCTGTTATCTAGGAGGCTGATACTTGCACCTGTCAGGTTGAATTGGCCTGTAAGAAACTTAACACAGTGTGCTTTTCTTCCTAGGCCGGACCTGATAGACATGAACACTGTTGCTGTTCAAAGCAACCTTGCAAATTTAGAGCACGCTTTTTATGTAGCTGAAAAAATCGGTGTTATAAGACTTCTGGACCCTGAAGGTGAGGTGTTTTCTTGACTCCTACCTTGACTGGCATGCGCTTCTCGCCGAAAGTCATCTGTCAGCATCATGAAATAATTCATTTCTGTTGCTGCTTTAGATGTCGATGTCTCTTCACCAGATGAAAAGTCAGTAATTACCTACGTGTCCTCCCTCTATGATGCGTTTCCCAAAGTCCCCGAAGGTGGTGAAGGCATCGGTGCAAACGTGAGTATTCGTTTTCCTGCACTTAAGCTGTTGGTTCGTAGATGATCAGTAATTGAATTGCTTGCTAATTAGTGCAGGACTTTAAAAATGGATTTTAAATGCTATGTAAATATTTGGGCTCCTGCGCTATTTTTCTGACCACATACACATCTCACAATGTCGTTCTGCCATTGAAATTAAAGGGTAACTAAGAAAGTTGTTCTGTGTCACAAATCAAGGAAAGTGCTTGAGAGTCACAGCACATCTGTGAAGGAAAGTAGTGAGTCACTGGGATGTAAATATTTCTGTGATAACCTGCTGTCCTCTCACAACTGCTGGTCTCCCATCTGTGTAGATAGGCCATCTCTCTGTAGACTGCAACTTAAAGTTGGTCCTGGAAACCCTGTGAAATAAGTTGACTAGATAGTTGTTTTCTGACTTGCCTGGATGAAGGTCTCTGTTTGACCAGGTGAGCAGAGCTAGGTTTCTGACACACAGTTTGGCTCCTGTGACCTCACTAGCGTCACCATTTCTCAAAGGCTTGTGAAATCTAACCCAGCTATGTGCTTTGACATGGCCATGCTGAACAAACACAGTCCAGAAGTGAACAGGATGCTGTGTTCATTTGAGGGTGATGCCCCTTTACTGCAGGCTGCTCCCTTCATTCTAGCAGATAGAGATAGAGATAGAGATGAATATGCATTGCTTGGAAGCCTTGCGCTCCCTTTTCCAATGGCTTCTATCACTGTTCCATTGTATTAATTCTAGATCTGGTTTTGGTTCTCTTCCCCTCGCCTTTCACAAAAGGATCCTAACCGTTTGGCTCTCCTGGCAGCGTGTTCCTGGTTCACTGCTCCGAGCTGTTGCTGCAGAGTGGTCCCTGTGCCTCCTTCCTTTACCTTTGCTACCTCTTCTTCCTTCATGGAGCACTGGGCTTGATAGCATATGCTTTTCAATCTGTGCATTAACTCTGCACAGGGAAATTAATTTTTGTCTACTGTCATGTCTTTAGTACCAGTTTGCAGGGTGACTGGTTGAATTCATTCACATGCCCAGTAGTCAAAACTGCATTTTAATTATCATTATTAGCAATTCCATCTGCAGGTTTGCAGTCTTAACCAATTACTTATAGAGCATTTCTGTGTGAGTGCCCTGCCTCCTTTGGGACTTGGATCTTTTATCCATGCTATACACCCTGCTCCGACCACATTACCACTCGCTGTTCACTGCTCAGAAGTCTCTGGTGACCGCTGCAAGGCACATGTGTATCCTTCCCTCCGGTTTTTAGTAGATGCTGTTTCAGTCTTTCGAACATTAGACACTGCCCTGCATGCCACTTAACTGTTCTTGCAATGATTCCCTCTTCTCCCTAGTTAGACAGTAACTCCTGACTGCAGATATTATGTCTTAAAAGTTTTGCTTTTTTATTGCAACAGTGAGCATAATCCTGTCTCCTAGTAAGCGTTCTTTGGAAGCTTCCTTACACAGCAATTGTCAGCCTTCCGGTTCCTTCCTTTTACGAGAGTTTGTTTAATGGATACTTGAAAATCCCATCATATCCAACCTGTCCCTCTCTGGTCCCTACATCTCCTGTAACTTCATTGAGTGTCAGATACTAGGGAACTTAGATGCTCAGTGGCCGGAGGAGATGGCTACCCTGGTGTATATATACAAGCCTTTGCTTCCCTTACCTTGAGCCCTGGGAAACCTTCCAGATCAGATCATTTTTTGAAGCCTCAGAAGCCTCTTCGATGTAGTGCCCCAGACAGCCACTATTTTTGGACACTCATTAGTGGCCAAGTGTTGGTAACATGTTCTTAATTTTGTTTGTATGGAAAGAATTGTAGCTGAGTGGAAACTAAGACAGCGTTTACCTGATGAATCTCTCTGTCAAGCTTCAAGACATCTGCACTCACAGGAATATGGCAGATGAGTGCAGTTACCCATAGACTCAAACTGTCCCTGCTGTTTTGTTGCCTAGGATGTTGAAGTCAAGTGGATTGAATACCAGAATATGGTGAACTACCTCATCCAGTGGATTAGACACCACGTGGTCACAATGTCTGAGAGAACATTTCCTAACAATCCTGTTGAACTAAAGGTTGGTATATGGTAGATCACTAGGATTGATTCGATCAAAAGCTGTAAAATAATGCTGGGTTAATTCCATAATCTTAGCATTCAAGATAAATTGCCATTGATAAGCCATCGATCTTAGTAGGCAGAGTGATAGCAACATTTTTAAGAAGTTTCCTTCTCCAAGCTTTACGTTGTTGAGAATTAAAGGTATAATTTGAGAGCTTCAGAAACTAACACTGCCAGATCTTACGCGATGAGTGGGAAGTACTGCAAGGCCACCAGATGCTGGGACAGAAAGATCCGTGGGAGCTCACACACAGAGCAGTGATCAGGAGCATGCCTCTGCTTGAATCAGGTTAGAAGCTGCCCCGAGGGCCTCTTCTGTAGAGAACAAGGCACATCCTGCGTGTTAGGGATTTCAGAATGCAGATCCTGCTGTAGAGCAGGCGAGTTTAGAGTCGCTGCTCACAGCCTCTGCTGCTGTTGCCATCTTAGGTAAGGTCACTGAGGTGGAGCTATCCCAGCAATATAAAGTAATTATGAATTCACAGCTTTTCAAAGAATAAGCTGTCTCATCTTGTACACTTATATTTGAAATAGCAAAGCAGTTTATTGTTAACAAGCCACTAATATGAATATTGACTACACAGTAGCCTTAATTCTTTGACTTAATAAGCTTTGTTTTAACTCTCAGACTGGAATTACAAAAGCTGCAGTAACACAAGATAGGCCTCATGAAAGTTCTTTGTTATTCCCACACATCTGTTCAGAACATCTGCGGCGTGACTCTTCTCATTACCACACGGTGTTTGTCCTTGGCACAGAGTTACTTAGTATTGTTTGATTTTTTTACAGACCTTTTTATGGGGGTCTTATCATTATGAGAAGCCTCCCTGTGTGAATATGAACTATTCGAGGGCACCAAAACCTGGTCCCTTCTACTTCACATGGTACCACAGTGCTTTGCACACGGTGACATTTGGTGACCAATGACTGATAGCAACCTACAAGATTTTGGTTTTGGTTCGATACAGTTTTTGGATTTAAGGTTCAAATACACATGTTTCTAAATGAATTCTGGAAGTGTGGTGGGGGTTGTTTGTTACGTTTTTGTTTTGACCATTGGGCAAATTTGTGTCGATCTCTGGCTTCAGCAGGTCTTTAAGAGTTGTAGGAGTCTGAGTATTCACACAGGTTGCTTGCTAATGGGTAAGGTAGGAGAGAAAAACATATTCTTAGGAATTAGCAAATAGTTACAAGCTTACAGAAATGTGTTGTGTATTTTAATGTAGCATAAATTAAGCTTAACTGACTACTGTGTGTCTATTAAATGTGAAAGTGTTTTATTTATGCAGTTTCTAGAAAGGTCTTATAAGATGAATATAGTAACATTTTAAGAGGTTCATAAATGAGATAATTACATGATTGGAGTGTCTATAATAATAATGTCAACTAATAACATCCACTTTCTTTTGTTAGGAAAAGAAATCTCTTTTACAATTGACAGTATGAAGAGGCCACAAATTAGCCCTCCTTAGCTTGCACGGGTTCCAGAATAGAACCATGGAATAGAAGGAAAAAAAAAACTTTTCCTTCCTTTATGCAAATTTCATCAAACTGTTTTCTAGAAACTAAAAACCAGTGTATGGTATTTGGGAAGCTCAGGCTCTTAAGGATGTGTTCATGTTTGGGCGCGGGCACTGGTCATCATGTGTTGTTCAGAGTCCTGTGTGGCACATGCTAGATCATGGCTCTCACCCGGTCCTCATCCGGTCCTGCGCTGGAGCGTTGAGTCCGTAAGGAGCTCTACTGAGTGCTCATGGCACAGGAAATGGCCTTGGCTCTACGGACATGATGAAAGCAGGCTTTGAAGGTGGGCCGTAACTCAGATTCCTTCTCTTTCTAGGCACTTTATAACCAGTATTTACAGTTTAAAGAAAAAGAAATCCCACCAAAGGAGACAGAGAAATCAAAAATTAAACGGCTATATAAGTTATTAGAGGTAAGTAAGCCAAGAGTATCCCTTGGTACTTTCAAGCATAATTTCTGAATTGTTTTCAGGCCTTAGCTATACGTTAATTATGTTGTTTCCTTAAGATTTGGATAGAGTTTGGACGCATCAAACTCCTTCAAGGTTATCACCCCAATGACATTGAAAAGGAGTGGGGCAAACTCATCATCGCCATGCTGGAGCGGGAGAAGGCGCTCCGACCCGAGGTGGAGAGGTAGGGAGGCTGGCCTGGTGCCATGTCTGCTGCAGACGCCATCCATTCTGCTTCTCCTAGAACTCGACTTTCATTTGGTGTTGTTGGTTGGTTTTGTTTTGTTGGTTGCTTTGTTTGTTCTTTCTATGACATGTTCATGTCTGCCTGGGTGCCTGCGCGTACTTGTGTGTGGAGGTCAGAGTTCAACCTTGACCTTTCCTCAGAAACTGTCTGCTTGTTTTATGGGACCTGAGACTGGAACTGAGGCTCACACAGATTGTATTTTCCGGTTACTCATTTGTATGACCTTCGATAAGTCTCTTTAGTGTCTTTGTTCTTCCATTTCCTTATCTAGTAATGGTAGCAAGAACTCTTAAAGAATTAATTAGTAACTACATACAGGACCTGGTAGGTTGGATTCCCGTATGGAGTCTTGTCGAATAAGGTATTTATTACAGTTTAAAAACAAAAAGCACCCAGAAGTCTTTCTTAAAATAACCTTAAGTCACCAAGGCCCAAGAGTGGAAGCTCATAAGTTAGAGATTAACTGTTTTGTTTATTATTAAAGTTTTTAATATGGTCTCCTTCTCTTGAGGCTGTGGAAATGCTTTCATTTAAAAGGCAATGGAGGCTGAGCGTATAGCTCAATTAGTGGAGTACTTGCCTCCCTCGCATTCACAAAGCCCTAACACCACATGAAGCTAGGTGCAGTGGCACATGCCTGTAATGCTAGCATTTGGGAAGTGGAGGCAGAGGAATCGGAACCTCCAGATCATTTTCCCTTTGCTACGCTGTGAGTAGGAGGCCAGCCTGTGCTACCTGAGACCCTGTCTCAAGGAACAACAACAGAAACAGTCAACGAAGGGCTCTGGGTTCCCTTCTGTGTGTGCAGTCCATGACAATAGCACTGCCTGCCTCTTGTTCTGCTGCTCTAACTGTGTCCCACTCCTCTGGAAGGTGCGGACCACCCACCCACCGGGGCTGGGAACTTACTAGGGAAGTATACTACCACTGGGCTGCTTGCTCAGCCATGTCCTATGAATTTATTTTCTTCTGGTCATTGTCCTCTAACTTGCTGTAGTGTGTGAGACTTGTGCTCTGTGCCCCTCCTTCCAGCCGGGGGCACGTGTGGTCAGGCATTGCTCTGGCTGCAGTCTCGTGGGAGCTCACCTGGGCTGTGTTCCACCCTCTATTTACAGGGGTTTTGTGTAGTCTGTTCCTTTGGCAGGGAATCCATTTCATGTCCCTATTTTTCTTACTCCTAATCCTTCTCAGACTTCAGCCTCCCTGTTCCTCCCATCAGTGTCCCAGGCTGGATGACATGCCCTTTTTTATGACTAATAATTTATGAGTATCTTTTAAGAATGCTTCCTTGGTTATAATTTAGTATTTATTCATGTTTCTTTCAAACCACCTGTTTCTGAGACAGCAGCTCTAATAATATGGAGACAAGCTGTCATTTTGTGTCCCTTAACAGTGCTTTTGCACAGTGCCAGGCACATGACGAAGACACCCAGTGGAGTTGGCTCTCCCACACTGACTTCAGTGCTGACATTTAATAATGTGTTTAAGACACAAAGTCAAGTTCCTCTTCTCAGCCCTTTCTTACTAGTTTCAGTCTTGTTAAGGTTACCGTGTCTATGTAGACAGAACATAAGAATCAAAATGAGCTTTAGATGCATGGGCTGCAGCTCTTACCAATGATTAAAATGAAATGTTAAAGGAACCATTTGAATTAAAGATGCAGAGAAAAGATAGAGAATTTTAGTCACTACATCAGTAGCTGAATTTTAATGTGTGTTGTAATCCACTATGTACTGCTGCAACAGAATGCTACACACTGAATCACATAAAAGAAGTTTGTTGTTGAGGGTTGTGGTATGGTACAAGTCTGCTATACACCCAGCGCTTGGGAAGCTGAAACAGGAGCATGGATAGCCTGGGCTGTATTAAAGATTGTCTTGTGCTTAAGACAAGAAAAGGAAAAGAGGGAGCTGGTGATTGAGAAATGCTGGCACTGGCACCTGATGAGGATCTTCCCTGGTCGGTGGCAGAAAGACCACGAGGAGGAGAGCGGAGCAGCATGGTGGCTAAGGGACCAGACAGGCACAGGAGAGAGCAGATGCTCACAGAAGCAGCAGAGCCGCTCTACCCACTGGTGCAGGAACCAAGTCACTCCCTTGGTGGCTTTAATTTATTCATGAAGGTTGAGCCTTTATGATCTCATGGCTCTTAAGCACTTCACACTGGGCACCATGCTTCCAGCACAGATACACTCAACCCCAACAGCATACTACTGGAAGAAAGCTCGAGATCCAGGAGCCGGTCTGTTCTGGACTAGGTTTATTACTTCAGCTTGGAAGCCATGTGATTTTAGAGGTGTTCTTAAATCTCTAGGCCTGTTTCCTCACTGTAACTGGGTGTAACAATACCTACCACATTTGGTGGTTATGAATATGAGATGAGGTTATGTGTGTAAAATGTTTAATTTCCTGACACATAGAAACTGTATAGAAAGTGTAGAGTACAGCTATTTGTGTTGTAAATTGTTCTATTTTACCTGGTCATTGCTTTTGGAAAATTAAAATGTTTTAACTTGGAGCAGAGAGACATCATTGTGGCTCTGTTGAATTGGAGGTAGGGAAGTGTCTGGGAACTTGGCTGGTTAAAAGCCTTCATTTTTCTTGACACAAGTTTTGGTCCTGGCTGCATATTACAAATTATAGTAGCTATGCAGCTTGGAGTGTGTAGAAGACAAACAGGAAAGAATTGATGTTCTTGGGCCCTCTGCTAGTCTGTGTGAAGAAGCAAGTCCAGACACATTTGCCGCTAGTGAATCAGTGTTCTACTTGGATTCTTTGTCTTTTCAAATATGAGCTGTGGTAGTTAGAAATAACATTACTGAGAGAGGTCATCATACAAAGAAAGTAATTGAATGTTTTTCTAGTTAATTTAACATGATGGGCAAATGGCACGATGGTCAAATGGAAATCGATTTTGTTTGTCATTAAATTTGCTTGCTTGTGTGTACTTGATTGTCCCAGCATTTTGCCTGGTGTTATCCAGCACACAGCATCTCTTCCCTTAAGTCCGGCTGTGATGCAATCTTTGTGTCCTCCTAGCTTGTGGTTGGTATGGACAGAATTGCCTTCACTGGTGGTGATTCCTGAGTTTCTTGGGTACCGGAGTTGTTTTTTAGGTGGTTGCAACTGGTTGACTCTTAGTGAAAATATTTGGCATATCTTTTCCGGTGACGCCCAATCATCCTGCTCTGTCCGTACTTGCAGGGCTTTAATGCAGACTACAAAAGGCAAACCTCAGCAAGCAAATGAATGGCTTCAGGCATGATTCTTCTGAATAGCTATCAGCATAATATTTGCAGTGTATTGCATATTCATGCCGAGGCATATTTAAGGATCCATTAAAGCTGTATCACCCCACCAGGGACACTTTCCACCAGGTAGAACTTGAGCCTTCTCCGGTCCTACTTTCATGGTCCTAGGATATCACTTCAGGACTGAAAATGCACAGCAGTAGCTACAGTTACCGTAGCAGTGACTCTGTGTTTACTAACACGACGAGCACTCGGACTAGTCTAGATTCGAATGACAATCTTCTCTCTGTCCATTGTGGCCCCACATTGATCAACTCCTGCATTAGCTTCGGCAATGAGTCCTTTGACGGACACAGGTATGGAGTCAGCGGTGCGAGGCTGCCTTTTCTTCCTGGGCAGCGTCGGTTTTCACGACTGGTGAGCTCCTTGGCTTCAAAAGGAAGGAATTTCTTTTCCTTTTGTCTCTTTTAGGTTGGATATGCTGCAGCAGATTGCTGCCCGAGTTCAGAGGGATAGTGTCATCTGTGAAGACAAACTGATCCTCGCCCGAAATGCTCTCCAGTCTGTAAGTTGGTTTCTGGAGCCGGGGCTTGCTGTAGAGGGGTGGTGTGTGCCGGGGTAAAGTGGAACCTTTTGTATTATATGATAGATTCCTGGTACTCACTCCCTGCAAAAGTTTTGAAAGATTATGATCAATATTTTCTCTCTTGAGATGCAGTGAGTGAAAGAAAAACATATATTTGAACCAAAAAAAAAAATAAAGATCAAATAGGCTTCTCTTCTAATAGTTTGGACTTTAAAGCTAGTTTTAACCTTTGTTTTATGAAGTTAATGCTGAGTTCTTTTAAATACAGGATTCGAAAAGATTAGAATCAGGGGTGCAGTTTCAGAACGAAGCAGAAATTGCTGGGTACATCCTGGAATGTGAGAACCTTTTACGCCAGCATGTGATCGATGTGCAGATTCTGATCGATGGGAAATATTACCAGGCCGATCAGCTGGTGCAGAGGTAGGAGTGGACTTTAGACCTTTCCAATAACTGCTTCAGGAGAGCACGATGGGAATATAGAATGTGAAATTAAGTTTTATGTGAGTTGTAATATTTTGATAAAATAAAATATTTTATTTATTTATTTATTTATTTATTTGATAAAATAAAATATTTGATCAATATTTGCAGTAAATATAAATTTTCTGCCACAGTAAATACCAGAGTCGTTAAAATGAGTATTTTAAATGTCTATATTTATTTCCAAGTGTGTAAAATATTTATGTAGGTCTTTGGATGTGACCCAGAGGCAGAGTAAATATTTAACTAAGCATATTTAAGGCCCTGGGTTTGATCCTCAGGCCACCAAATAATAATAACAACAATTTGCAACATTAGAAAAGGGAAAAGTTTTCATCTTCTGTTAGTTTTGTGTTTACTCTAATATGAAAATGGTTATGGCCAAATATTTGAAAAATATATGTGTATAAAATGGCAAAGCTATGGAAGCTGGCAAGGTGGCTCAGCTGTTAAACGCACTGGCTGCTCTTCCAGAGGACCTGGGTTCAATTCCCAGCACCGACATGGTGGCTCACAACTGTCTGTAACTCCAGTTCCAGGTTACCTGACACCCTCACACAGGCATACACACGGGCAAAACGCCAGTGCACGTTAAAAGAGGGGGAAAGCTGTGTGCGGTAACACACACATGGGCTCTGAGCTCAGATGCAAGTAGGTAACAAGACCCTATCTCGAGGAGGAAAAAGTAAACAGCAAATACAAAACATTTCTGACAAGTTAATGGGGCCTGAGAGACTAGAACTTGGCCAGCTGTAGCCTCTCTTTCTCTATGTACATAAGAAAGTGACCTTTGTAAATCGTGTTTGAGCAACTAATTTCACTTTTAGGAATCAGGAATTATTCTCTATGTGGATAATAAGTAGATACAATTAGAAAACTTTATGTTTATGCCAGAAATATTTTATAAGAAATTTTATTATCCTTAATATCAAATAATAGAACCACCACTGTATGCTAATAATTATGTTCCTCATAAGTGATGGTTATAAAGACTTAATAATGTGGAGAGTTTTTAAAGTATGATATTCAGTGAAAACAAAACATGAGGCAACATTTTACCAAGATGGTTTCAGTGATGTTTTTAAAACAAAATGGGTATTTCTCGAGTAGTGTAGGTTTGCAGAACAACAGTTGAAAGCAGCACTGTTGAAGGCCTTCTCGCTCCCCACCCCCGCTGTTAGTGACTAGCAATAGTGGCATGCGACTGATAGCCCTGCAAAGCCAGTATTGCTATGTGAGCTAAGGCCAGCAGTGTACATTAGTCTCTTCGATCACACCTTATCCCTCTCCATGTTCCTGCAGGGTTGCAAAGCTGCGTGATGAAATTATGGCCTTAAGGAATGAATGTTCCTCCGTGTACAGCAAAGGACGCATGCTGACCACAGAACAGACAAAGCTCATGATATCAGGAATCAGCCAAAGTCTAAACTCAGGATTTGCACAGACCTTACACCCCAGTCTGAACTCAGGGCTAACCCAGAGTCTAACACCTTCCTTGACCTCTTCTAGTGTGACTTCCGGCTTGTCCTCGGGGATGACTTCCCGTCTGACTCCATCGATTACTCCAGCTTATACACCTGGCTTCCCTTCAGTAATGGCTCCAAATTTCAGTTTAGGAGTAGAGCCAAGCTCATCACAGACTCTGAAGCTAATGCAGATCCGAAAGCCCCTTCTAAAGTCGTCTTTGCTGGATCAGAACTTGACAGAAGAGGAAGTCAATATGAAATTTGTTCAAGATCTCTTGAACTGGGTTGATGAGATGCAGGTAATGTTTACCCCGGTTCCCCAGTCTTACTCCAGACACAACCTCTCCATGTTTTTACACTGGTATTTTGCTATTTAAGGTGCAGCTGGACCGCACTGAATGGGGCTCAGATTTGCCGAGTGTTGAAAGCCATTTAGAAAACCATAAAAATGTTCACCGAGCCATTGAAGAATTTGAAGCAAGCCTTAAAGAAGCTAAAATTAGCGAGGTATGTGAATTCTTAAAAATATTTTGTAGTTGGTTATTATTGTTTTTTACATAAAGACCTTATAACTCGGTGACTGACATGTTAAATGTTAGTCAGAACTTGAGATCCTTAACCTCCATGTCTTTCCCCATTATTTTAGATTCAGATGACAGCGCCTCTTAAGCTGACTTACACAGATAAGTTGCACAGATTAGAGAGTCAGTATGCAAAACTCTTGGTGAGTCTTTTTCCTTTGTTTGCTTTAAACTCTCGATTCCCATCCCGCCTGTTTACTGACAATCTGTTTCTTAACAATGTTTTTTCTTAAAAAGAATACATCCAGAAATCAGGAACGGCACCTTGATACGCTCCATAATTTTGTAACACGGGCAACTAATGAACTTATCTGGTTGAATGAGAAAGAAGAGGAAGAAGTCGCTTATGACTGGAGTGAGAGGAACACCAACGTTGACCGGAAGAAAGGGTACCATGCGGTGAGTCAGCTGCTCGCTCCCGTGCCAGAGGTGGACCTGGAGCTGGCCGCTTCTTCTGACCCACTCCTTACTGCTTCCTCACTAGGAGCTAATGAGAGAGCTCGAGCAGAAGGAGGAAAACATAAAGGCCGTTCAGGAGATCGCAGAGCAGCTGCTTCTAGAAAACCACCCAGCCCGGTTGACTATAGAGGTAAGACAGTGAGGGGTCTGGGCCGAGTACGGGTGGCTCCATCAACTTAAACCTCAGATTCCAACTACTAAGTGTGTACTCCGGTCTGTCTCAGGGATAACTTTCTCAGTGAACCGTAGTGATTCTTCTCTCCGTCCTCTCTTGAAGAAAGGTAGCAGCTTTCTTCAGGCCCTGGGAAGCCGCTTTTGAGTAAATTCATCTGATGGGGATGGAAGGGTGTTGCGTGGTGGAGCTTGTACATACTGTGTGACAAACAAAAATGTAACTTAGCTTTGCTAGATTCCCAGGCAACTCTGCATCAGCAGGAAAGCCTGTCTGAACTCAGCTCGGGAGCCCTGGGGTCATTCCCGTAGGAAGAACAGGCTGAACATACAGTGGGCACAGGGCTCCCTCTCCTGGGAGGCAGGGATTTGTACCTTCAATAAAAGCGAGTTTCATAATTCATGAGGAATTAGGTGTGCTTTCTAAAGTATTTCCTTCGTGAAAGATATATTCTGTATTAAATAATAAACATTCAAATAGATGAGTGTTTAAATTCTTCTTATTATGATATTATTAAAGCTGGTCATTGCATTGATATGAAAGTATATGTTCCTTTTCTATCCTCCCTAAGTCTTCCTCAGGAAAACACAGAAGAAAACTACAGATCTGTGCATGTGTGTTAACACACACATGGTGTAGCTCACTAATACAAACAATCCAGAAACGGGGAACGCTGGGATGCTGTGGAGAAAAACATACTTAGTATTCTAAGAATTCGATGTCAGGCAGCTCTAGTGAGCACGGAGTGAAGACAAGGGTGAATTTTATAAATAGAGAGAATAACTTGCATTTATTTTAAATGTAGATCTTTCATATATCCATAATTTTTCCTTATTCTAAGAAAATAATCAAGGAATTAGAAATTTGGGGAAGTTCATCTGGACTAATTTAAAATTATATACAAATTTTAAGACTAACTGCATAAGGAAAAACTTCAAATAAGAAAATTTACTACCCCAGTTTTCATGGTTCAGCCCATTGAAATTTTTTTCCATCTCTTTGATTAGTAGAGTGTTTTGTCATTTGAAGCCATCAATGGTGAGCAGGGCATGATGGCTCATGCCTGTAATTCCAGCCTATAATGAGAAGTTGAGGCAGGGGGATTACCACAAACTTGAGGATAGCCAGGGCTGTATACTGGCAACCTGTCTCAAAAAAAAAAAAAAGTAACTAAAGAAGGAAAATGCAATAAATACATACATACATACATACATACATACATACATACATCAGTATAGCCCTCCGCACCTTTTTTCCCCGCCCTGGCATTCACTGTGTGTCTTCTCTCTAAGGCGTACCGAGCAGCCATGCAGACGCAGTGGAGTTGGGTCCTGCAGCTCTGCCAGTGTGTGGAGCAGCACATCAAAGAGAACACCGCCTATTTTGAGGTATGCGAGTAGAAATGCCTACTGCACAGACGGCCCTGAGCCTGCATAGATGACAGCGCTGCCTGTGGGGCTGAGGTGCTGAACACATGGTGGGGGGGGGCAATACTTTCTACAGGATGTCAGTGCTGGTGTCAGGTCTGAGAGGGGAAAGTTTAGCTGTTAGAGAAGAGATCCTGGAACATGGCTTAGCTGGCACATTGTTTGCCGTGAGTTCCACCCCCAGAAACCACACTTTAAAAGAAGAAAAAAAGTGAGCTGCCCAGTGCTGTGGGCAGGAGGGGACAGGAGGATCCCCGGGGCTCGCTGGCCAGCCAGTCTTGCCAAGTGAGAGCGTCCGGGTTCAGTGAGAGACCTTGTCTCAAAACACAGGGTGGAGAGAAGTGAAGAAGGCATCCAGTTGTTGTCCTCTGATTTACACACACAGACACACACACACACACACACAATGAATCTTTTATAAGGTCTTTAAATATTGTAAATAACTCTACAAATTTTTCTCATAGTAAGGGCAACCAAATAAAGATTTCAGTTTATTCTTTAGAAATTTTCATACATTCTTTGAAATTTCACCCCTACGTAAAAGATTGGTTGAGCCCTAAAGTAAAACAGACTTCCAACCAAAATAATAGACAGCCAAAGCCCAAAGCACAGCACACACGCACAGTTTGGATAATTAATATTCATCTGTAGCCATCCAAGTTCAAAGGTTTTTTTTCAGTTCCAAAAAGGACGATGCTGTTAAGTTCCTTTGTGCTTTGGTTCTGCTCTCCCCTGTTGGGCACACAGAGGGCCCGAGTACCTGAATTTAACAGCTCTGCCTTCCTGGCGTTAACAGTGTAGCTCAGCTGTCTAATTTTATCTTTCCTTAGTTTTTCAGTGAAGCCAAAGAAGCTACTGATTACCTGAGGAACCTGAAGGATGCCATTCAGCGCAAGTACAGCTGCGACAGATCGAGCACCATTCACAAACTGGAAGACCTCGTTCAGGAGTCCATGGTACAGATGTGGAAACTGGATTGTGACATAGACACAACAGAGTAGATTAGTGGTTCATCAGACGTCTGCATGCGTAGATTTGTATTTCATCGGCACTGTTAGCTCAGTCGGTTAGGCCTTTTTTGTGTTTAGTTTTTGATGATAGTAGTGTACTTTATATGCTGTTTAAACTGCTCTAGCAGTGGACTGTGTGGTCAGTCATTCCACAAGGAGATCCTTGGGAAACACCTTCTGTGTCTGCTCAGGCACTGTTTTCAGTTCCGGAGATACAACCATGGACAACACAGGCAGGAACTGCCTGTGGTCCTAGATATCATAGGGTAGCTGCACAGTAGTACGCTAAATAAACAAAATACATATAGAGGGTTAAATAGCAGTAATGCCTCACCGGGATTGAGGGGTGGGGGGGCAAAGTGAGGAAGGAGGGAGTCAAGACAGGGCGATGAGATGCAGAAAGTTCGCCCAGTGGTCAGGGCATACTTGGGTGATGAAGTTTCATTTGTGTGAATCCCTGTGGAATGGAGAGTTTAAATCACTAATTTGAAAACCCCGCTGTGTTTCTAGGAAGAGAAAGAGGAGCTTCTGCAGTACCGAAACTCGGTGGCAGGCCTGATGGGGAGAGCCAAGACAATAGTGCAGCTGAAGCCACGGAATCCTGACAATCCACTCAAAACTTCCATTCCCATCACCGCTATCTGTGACTACAGACAGATTGAGGTACCTGTCATTCTTAAAGCAGACCAGATTCTGTGACGAATCCGTCCATTTTACAAAGGAGGTCAATAATGCTGCCTAGTCATAAGGCTTTTCTCTGCCTCATAGAAATAGTAATTATTAGCAAGATTGTGTATAGAAGATGCGCCAGTGGTGACTTAAGGTTTTCCTCTTTCATTTAAAACCAGATAACCATTTATAAAGACGATGAATGTGTTTTGGCAAACAATTCTCATCGCGCTAAATGGAAGGTCATTAGTCCCACTGGGAACGAAGCTATGGTCCCGTCTGTGTGTTTTACTGTCCCCCCACCAAACAAAGAAGCTGTTGATTTTGCAAACAGGTTAGTATGGTTTGGGGTCTTGCTGAAGGTTAAAGAAGCAGACAGTGCTTTGTCAGGGACCCACAGGACTGGAAGTTCTGTAGAGCTAGTACATAGGGTGCATTTTAGAAACGAAGATTGTAGCATGTTTTCAGAAGGCACAAAAAGGCTTAAAAATCTGTATTTTCCTGTATATTTTACAGAATTGAGCAGCAGTATCAGAGTGTCCTCGCCCTTTGGCATGAATCTCACATAAACATGAAGAGTGTAGTCTCCTGGCATTATCTGGTCAATGAAATCGACAGAATTCGAGCTAGTAACGTGGCTTCAGTGAGTCCAAATGTACACATTAATCCAGTGTTTCCACTTAACTGTCTACATGGCCTACTGTACACACACGCACGTTTGTTTTCTTATCTATGTATGTATTAGAGGTGATGCTTCACACACGAGGGAGATCCTGTGCTTTTTATCTCCCTGAGATTGTGTGGCTTCCCTTAATATTATATGTCTTTCCATTTTCTACAATTTTTTATTCCATTCTGTATGTGTACCAAATTTCATTATCTGTTCTTATGTTGGCAGAAAACTAGGTTGGTTCCATTTCCCCGCTATAGGGTATAAACCTAAAATAAATAGAAAGAATATTGACTTCAGATGTTTCCTCTAAGTGTGACTAACTGAGGTATATACCATGCTATCTACTCTTATCTGAGCCATTCAGATACAGCTCTTGGCTTTACGTCTTAATCAGAGGATCTTTGTTCTTTCAGATAAAGACAATGCTGCCTGGCGAACACCAGCAGGTTCTGAGTAATCTTCAGTCTCGTTTGGAGGATTTTCTGGAGGACAGCCAGGAATCCCAAATATTCTCAGGCTCAGATGTAACTCAGCTAGAAAAGGAGGTGAATGTGTGTAGGAAGTATTACCAAGAGCTTCTCAAGTCTGCAGAAAGAGGTAAAGTGTGGGGTCTGTTTACTTCCCCTGCAGGGGTTTGCTCCAGGCTTTTTTTCTGCTGTCGTTGGAAATCTCAGGGTTATGGCATCACATGGCTGGGATGTGTAAGAAAGATTAATGAACACTATAGAAATGTGTGTGTCAGGGCATAAGGTAAGAGAAGGCATGTGTGCAGCCCTGAGTCCAGGCCCCAGCTCCACCAATAACAAACAAAACTTTTTAGGTAGGAAGATTCTAGAAGAGATCATTAATTTCTAAATGATGAAATAATTAAAGATGCCAGCCAAGTGGGGGGGACAGACGACATGTTCTCACCTCATCTGCGTTTTAACGTTTGTCCTGTTTGCAGGGCAACACTGAGAATGAAAGTCCTTAAGGCACATAAAAGACTTGATTCTCCTGTGTTCAGTTTTTCACAGGAGTTAAAGCAGAACGCTTTATTTAGTCAGCATTTGTTCAATATAGATCTTTGTCTTAACTCTTCATACTATTTAAAAACAAATGATTTTTATTAATGGTATTCTGTTTCAGAATCTTAAAACATTAACACTTCCTTTACGTGCTACTTTTTACACTTGGATTTTTTGTTCAATTTTATGGTTAATTGATAGCATATAATTCATATTTTTGTGACTATAAAAGCAGAACAATACATTGTTTCCTTTGGATATTTCCATGATAATTTGGTACTTTAAATGACCTTAGGGATTTTAAGTTTTAAAATTCATATTTTAAGATTTCTGTTTTAAATCTGTTTAAAATTTCTGCTAATATAACACTGGTTTGCCTCAGTAAGAATAACACTGTTTTATTGAAATTTACACAAGAGCTTCCTAGGGGTGAGAAGCCTGTAGCTGAACATGTTTGCTTTCACAGAGGAGCAAGAGGAGTCGGTGTATAATCTTTACATCTCAGAAGTGAGAAACATTCGACTTCGGTTAGAGAGCTGTGAAGACCGGTTAATTCGGCAGATACGGACGCCCCTGGAGAGAGACGATTTGCATGAAAGCATGTTCAGAATCACAGAGCAGGAGGTAAGCGTTACACGTGTGTTAGAAAACCCAGGTCATATCCTCTTAGTGACCCCAAATATCACCTTCCGATGTTCTGCGTGCTCATCTGTGACCTCAGTTCCTGGGGTCCAGTTGTACATATCTTGCTGGATATAAATTAAGATCCTATAATTCTGCTCTGCCTGTGAGTTAGGTAAATATAGAAGCATATTGCCTTTCACCTACCCTGGTAGACTTTATTCAAAGAGAGTCCTTGTACACCTGCTGTATACAAAATTAGAGGTTTAAGTCAAGGGACCTAACAATAAAGACATTACTGATTGTAAAGCTCGAGGCCATGCTTCTGTATATTTGGTAATGAGAAGAGTTATACAGACACTTATGCTGTGTTGGACATAACACTGAAATGAATTGTTAAGCGGCTGTAAGAAAGGTACCCACTTGGGATGATAACTCACTGCCTCTATTTTCCCCCTTCACTAGAAACTGAAGAAAGAGCTGGAACGGCTTAAAGATGATTTGGCAACGATCACAAACAAGTGTGAAGAGTTTTTCAGTCAAGCGGCAGACTCCCCGTCCATCCCCACTCTGCGATCAGAACTCAGCGTGGTCGTCCAGAGCATGAATCAGATCTACTCCATGTCTTCCACCTACATAGAGAAGTAGGTTAACGTGACGTCTGCCCGCTGTCCTGGCGCTGATCGCCTTTTATGAGCAGTGGGTTTTATCTAAGAAGCTGACTGGTGCTGTTTCTCCACGTCCACGGGAATTGCCCTGGAGATGACTGTCCTCCCATGTTTCTGTTCTGTAGCTCACCTTAGGTCATCTTTAGGGTTTTCCTGTCATGCGTAGTGTGACCTTCTGTTGGCATTAGTAGATCTCTCCTGGGGGTGGAGCATAAGGTGGCACATATTAGGAAGAGCGTCGACTGAATGCCAGACTTCGAGGAGACCACTGTTCCTGTGTCATGCGTTACAGTGATGCTTTAGGGCTATAGTATGCTTGTTTGTTTATTTATTAATTAATTAATTAATTAATTTTTTAAAAGGTGTTAAAGAGCATGGTCTTGTATTTATTTCTCATTTAAAGGTTGAAAACAGTTAATTTGGTATTAAAAAACACCCAAGAGGCAGAAGCCCTGGTCAAACTCTATGAAACCAAACTATGTGAAGAAGAAGCAGTAATAGCTGACAAGAACAATATTGAGAACTTAATGAGTACTCTAAAGGTAAGAGTCTCACGGGAACTCTGGGTATGTTTCCAGGGCCGTCGTTCTGAGTATTTCTCTAGCACAGAGCTCGAGTTTCAGACACCCAACCTGAGGTATCTGGCATAGAATATGCTTCTGAATGTGCTTCTCCATTTCTTTCTAATTCTACAACTTCCTGTAAAGAAGTATATTTCAATCGTTTTAGTATAAACTACTGTTCTGTTTCTGTAAGGAGACAGCATGTCCAAAGCAGTTTATAAAAGAAAGCATTCATTTGGGGCTTGCTTACAGTTCTAGAGAGTAGAGTTTATAGTCACCATGGCGAGGAACATGGCCGAAGATGGACAGGCAGGCAGGCCTGGCACTGGAGCAGTAGCTGAGAGCTTACATCTAAGCATCTAATCCACAAGCCCAAGGCCAAGAGAGAACGAGCATCCTGTGGCTTTTGAATCCTCAAAGCCCACCCCCAGTGACACACCTCCTCCAGCAAGGCCACACCCCCGAGCCTTCCCAAACACTTCTATGGGGGTGGGGGATTACGCATCTAAAGACATGAGCCTGTAAGGCCCATTCTTATTCAGGCCACCACATGGGGTATTCTTGTTTGAGATTTGAACCTTCTGAAGGTAGCTTTTGATTTGAACCTTCTGGTACAGTAACTTTTCCTAGTGGATTCGTCTTGGCAGCAAGATGAGTTGATACTAAAAATTAAATCTCGTATAGTCGATTCATTTTCTTAAAGGGGGCAGTTATTCTAAGATACCAAAGAGTAAAGGAATATTTTATTAATATTTTTTTAAATTTTATTTTATGTATATGAGTGTTTTGCCTGCTTGTGTGTCCCTGAGCCAAGTCTGTGCAATGCTCATTGAGGCCAGAGGGGGCGTGGGATCCCCTGGAGCGGTACTTACAGATGGTTGTGAACCACCATGTGGGTGCTGGGAGTGGAATCTGGGTCTTCTGGAAGAGCAGCCTGTGCTCTTAAACAGTTAGTCATCTCTCCAACCTCAGAAGTTATTTTAAGAAAGAAAAATACATTTACCACTGTATGCTCTATTTTTTATGTTTAAAATTTAACATTGTGTGTATGTGTATGCATGCATGTATGTCACTCACATGCCTTGGTACATGACTGTGGAAGTCAGGAGAGAGTTTGCAGGAGTCAGCTCTCTCTTTCCACCATGTGGGTTCTGGGGACCAAACTCCACTCCTAAGACATGGCAGCAAGCACCCTGAACCACTGAGCCATCTTATTGGCCCCTGCTTCTCTATTTCTATATCTAAAGTGCTCAGCAAGGCTGTTGCAAAAACAATGAAGTTATTTCAGTCATTTTATTCTTGTATTAATTTTTAAAAAATGGAATTAGAAGCATTTAAAGACAATAAAAAAGACTTTTCTTATTGTGGCAACTGCCTTGCTTATAGGAATACAAAATATAGGAATTTTGTTGACACATAGATTCTACTGGGCTGTATTTTTTAGACTTTCAGATTTTTATAATTTGTAAATGAAAACTATGAATTTATCTTGCTTGCTTTTTGTATGTGTTGATACATTTCTATGAACTGTTACCCTTCCCTCTTTTTCCTTTTCTCTATTAAGTGGCATAAATAAGTGTCTCTCACAGTAACCTTATTTTTTTCAGAGATCAAAGCAGCTGGATAATAGTCATTTCACAAGGTTATACCTCACACGTTTCCAATATCTTAGGTTTTTCTTTATGTAATTGTACATCACATAGTTATGTATAAATTTTAGCATTAGGTGAATAATGTGTTTACTGTATGACTTGTTGATACATTTCATGATGTTTATTGATGCGTGTATTTTAGCAATGGCGATCAGAAGTGGATGAAAAGAGAGGAGTGTTCCATGCATTGGAGGACGAGTTGCAGAAGGCAAAAGCCATCAGTGATGAGATGTTTAAGGCACACAAAGAACGGGATCTTGACTTTGATTGGCACAAAGAAAAGGCAGACCAGCTGGTTGAAAGATGGCAGAATGTTCATTTGCAGATTGACAACAGGTGGGTTCCCTTTCTGTTCAGAGGCCACATGGGTTGGACTCCCTTGTGTACAGAGGGCAAAGTCTATACTTAACAGGCTTTAACTGACATTCCATAGCTAATGTGTTAATTGCAGGATTGTTTCCTAATTACATTTTTTTTCTTACATATGTGCTTTAACAACACATGTAAATTGAAACATTTTCTTTTCTCTTTATTTAAGATTTTATTTAATGTATATGGCTGTTTTGCCTGCATGTATGTATGTATGTGAAACACATGCATACCTGATACTTGAAGAGACCAGAACAGGACATTAGATCCACTGGAACTGGAGTTACAGACAGTTATAGACCTACATGTGGGTGCTGGGAATTGAACCTAAATTGTCTGTAAGAGCCGACAGTGCTCTTAATGCTGAATCCTCTCTCCAAATGAAGAAATTTTTAAAAATATTCAGCTATGTATAATTAAAAATGCTAATGTATCTTGGTTTCTTAGTTAGACTTTCTATTGCTGTGAAGAGACACCATGACCACAGCAGCTCTTATAAAGGGAAACATTTAATTGAGGTAGCTTGCAGTTTCAGAGGTTTAGTCCATTAGCATCATGGCGGGAAACATGGTGGCAAGCAGTCAGACATGGTGCTGGAGGAGGAGCTGGGAGTTCTGCATCTTGATCCTCAGCCAAGAGGAAGTAAACTGTCTACCATACTGAGCATTTCTTGGGCAAAGGAGATCTCAAAGCCCACCCCCACAGTGACACACTTCCTTCAACAGGGTCACATCTATTCCAATAAAGCAATACATTGCAATAGTACTCCCTATGAGCTTATGGGGGCCAATTACGTTCAAACTACCACACCTCGCATTTGTATATTCTATCTTTTTAAAGACAATAATGTAGTGCTCTAAAAGTTAGTATGAACATTTGATGTTCAAACAACCATGAATTAGCAAAATAAATCATAAGCTTATTTCTTGGGCTCTGCATAGCAATTTCTGCCGGACCTAAGAGAAGAGGCGGAATTGGAGTGACCTGCTACTCATTTTCATGGACGTTGTCAGACAACTGAATCATTTGTCCAGTGAGAATTAAAAGCACGGAAAAAAATAGAATTTATTTAGGCTTTATCTTAAAAGGAATAAATAATGACCTTTCATGCTCATTTTTATGTTTATATTAATATAAATTAAATGCTTTTATGAATTCTCAAGAAATGAAGTTATATTCATATGTATTTTTTTTCCCTCTGGAAAATACATGATGAATTTGTTTAGTGTTCTGATTTAAAAAAAATCATGGAAATGGACATTTAATTTGAGTTCCTGGAAGACTCCCTTTGAGACCATGTTGAACCATCCGTTGAGTTGCATTCTTCCAAAGGTGAACTATGATTTGGGGCGAGCCTCAGCTGTTCAGGAATCTGTCTTCGGCCCCCACTGCACATCCGCCCTGCTGTGCTTAGTGACTCTTGGGTCTCCACTTGTGTTTTCCCTTCCCAGTCCCTTCACCTCTCTTGCTGGAGCCTGACTGTCTGCTGCTGTTCTTGTAGGCTTCGGGACTTAGAAGGAATTGGGAAGTCGCTGAAGTACTACAGAGATTCGTACCACCCTCTAGATGATTGGATCCAGCAAATTGAAACCACCCAGAGAAAGATTCAGGAAAATCAGCCAGAAAACAGCAAAGCTCTAGCCTTACAGCTGAACCAACAGAAGGTACCCAGACAAATACTTGTCCTGTGATTCTGTTTGCATTTGGTTGACCACGAGCCTCATCCTTCTCTCCTGTGGTGGAAGAAAAGGCAATTATTTAGACAACCATGGGGAAGAACAGTCTACATGAGATTTCCACACCCCAGACCTACCTGCATTTGTTTTTATTTCCTGGAAGTCATTTTTGAAGGCACAGATAATTAACAGAGTGTTGGGATAGTTTTCATATACCTCATCTTCCTGATTTCATAATCTGGGTCTAATTTTTCTTGACACTTTTCTAGCAACATAGTTTTATGCTTGCTGAATTAATAAGCATGGCCAGAGGTAGTAGGCAGAATCCTTATTATAACTGATGGGAAGGTGAGTGTTGTAAGGTTTTTGTTCCAGTGTTAGGAGCCAGTGATTTCTAACCCTGTTTTCATCTGGAGTGGGTGTCATGAAGGACACCAAGTCGGCTCTGCACGATTCTCATTTCCACTTAGAAAGCCTCACAAGGGGTAGATGACTTAGAAGTCTTATTCTGGAAGTGTGTTGTTTATCCATAAGTCAAGGCCATGTGGAAGGTGTGAAGTATTGAGACGTGCAGTGTTGAGTGGCGTGAGTATCTCTCAGTTCCTGAGCATGAGGTGGAATGGGATAGAATTCCCATTGCTGTTTCTCTAAACTGTGTTTACAGATGCTGGTGTCTGAAATAGAGGTGAAACAGAGCAAAATGGACGAATGTCAGAAATATTCCGAGCAGTACTCAGCCGCGGTGAAGGTGAGAAAAGTCACTTGAGACAAATTTAGTGTTTACGTGTGTCGTGTTGTGGTATATTTTTAAAGCAATTCAACGCATTTCGTCCCGTGTTAAGGAGCATTTGAACCCTTTTCAAACCTCATTCAAACCTTTTTATACTTAATAATAATTCTTTGTCAAACGAGTTGGGTGACAGCCCCCTGACTGGTCATTTTCACTCTCCACGAATGCGTGAAAATGTACACACACCCTAGACATACAGCTCTGAAACTTATTTCTTGTTGCTTTCCTTTTTCTTTTCTCTTTAAAATGGAGAGAACATTTAACTTGTACTTAAGAGGTACTTTCAGGGGCTGGAGAGTTGGCTCAGAGGTTAAGAAAGTTCAATTCCCAGCAACCACGTGGTGGCTCACAACCATCTGTCATGAGATCTGGTGCCTTCTTCTGGCCTGCAGACACACATGCTGAACATTGTATACATTGTATAAATAAAATCTTAAAGAGATACTGTCATTTTTATAGGATATTATTGGCAGTTTCTTAGCTTCCCGACTTCACAGTTCTGTTGTTGATGTGGAATAAGTGGAGACTGATATACCAGGAGTATCTGCAGTAAATATTTTTGTGACTTCTAAAGACAGTTTGAATCTTTGCTGGCCACTGTACATGTCTCTACTTATGTCACCACCTTACAAATATCTCTAAATAGATTTTTTAAATATTTGGTTTTCATAATTTATTTCTTTATTCAAACCTAATTTGGTGAACTGCATTCCAATTCTCTGGGGTGAGTCACTGTGGATGAAGCTTTCAGGCTTCGCTTTAATTCATTTGGTCATATTGACTCTTTGATGCAGGACTATGAATTGCAGACAATGACCTACAGGGCCATGGTCGATTCTCAGCAGAAGTCTCCAGTGAAACGCCGGCGGATCCAGAGCTCAGCGGACCTCATTATTCAAGAGGTAACAAACAGGGAAGAGCTGAGAGCAGGCAGAAAAGAAACATTTTAAAAGCAGTTTTACTTTTATCATGGTAAAGTAACCCTTTTATAAAACTGGCCATTTCAATTATTTGTAAATGATTTAATGGAATTATACATCATAATTTTTTACATTCATCACTATCCACTTCTAATATTTTTTTTTAACCATCTCTGGCAGAAAGTTGTGGTTGGGCTTTCTTGTTAGACTTTCTTGGACTACCAACCCTTAAGTAAAGATACAGAGACTTATTATTAATTATGAAAACTTAATCTCAGCTTCAGCTCTTTCCCAAGTAGCTCTTATAACTTAAATTAACCTGTTGCTGTGAATGTCCAGTCTGCCATGTAGCTCAGTCATCTCTCCTCTCTACCATATGCACAACTTCTTCAGTGTCTCGCCGGCTTCTCTAGAGTGCCTAGTTTCATCCCAAGTTCCTCTCTTCCCAGAAGTCCCGCCTTTTCTCTCCTGCCTAGCTATTGGCCATTCAGCTCTTTATTAAACCAGTCTCAGTGACACAGCTTCACACAGTGTAAGCAAATATTCCACAACAGGAAGTGCTGTAACACTATATCTTATTAAGTTTCCTTAAAACTCTTTTGCAGGGCGCTGGTGATACATGCCTGTTCTCTCAGCATTCGGGAGGCAGAGGCAGGTGGATCTCTGTGAGTTTAAGGCCAGCCTGGCCTAAAGGGCAAGTTCCAGGATAGCCAGGGCTACACAGAGAAACCTGTCTCAAAAAGCCAAAACAAAACAACAACAACCAAAAAAAACCTTTTAAAATAAAGGTTTATGTTTTGTTTTGGTGGGGGGGGGGTAGTAAGGGTTGAGAAAGAGTTTCTTTGATATCCCTGACTGTCCTAGAACTCAATCTGTAGACCAAACTGGCTTCAAACTCAGAGATGCACTTGCCTCTGTCCTCAGGTGCTGAGATTAAAGGTGTATGCCACTACTGCTCAGTCAAAGATCATTTATTAATGCAGGGGGAAAAATGTGCTTATTAAACTTAGAAAGAAGTGAGTAGCAAGCTCATTACTCCTGAAATGCCACTCCCTGCTGGATACGTGTGTGCTTCTTTCTCAAAGCCCAGTTGGTAGTGTGGGCATCCTTCAGAGTTCGCTCAACTCATTAGTAACAGAGATAACATTTCTGTCATTTCTCTCTTGCAGTTCATGGACCTGCGGACTCGATACACTGCCCTGGTCACTCTTATGACACAGTATATTAAATTTGCTGGCGATTCATTGAAAAGGCTGGAAGAGGAGGAGGTAATCTTTACCAGTGAACTTCCAAGGAAAGCAGGAACTAGATTTGAGCAGTAACTCTTATGTTTTGGGAAGGCGAATATAAGCTTCATGATAACATGGCTGAAAGCTAATATGCAAGTAGTTAACTAGAAGCTTACACTGAGAAAGAGGGGAAGCTTGGACATTTATTTGTTTGTTTTTTTAGATTCTCCGAAAGAGAAAAGCATTTTTAAATTTTTACTTCAAGTGGAATAGCATGCTTTAGTTCTGGTTCAATCCCCAAAACCCCAAAATCAGTTACTTCAGAACCCTAATATGATACCTGGTCTCATAAATGGTTCTGTTTCAGCAGGAAGATTTTGGCATTTGGGCAGAATTTTGTCCATCTTCCTCATGGCTGGGAAATTCTTTCTTTCAAGCCCAATTGTTGCTCCTATGGAGTTCATAGAGATGTACTGCATGCACACATGTGTGTTATGCTTCTTGAATTGATATACATCTCTAAAGAATTAAAATTATTATAAATAATTAAATTTAAAAGATAAACTTAGTAGTAGATTCTTATTCAAAAGAATGGACTTTTTAAGACTTGTGGAGTTTTACCCTTTGTTGTTGTCCCAGAATTATACTTGAGCAAAAGAGTAAGTGTGGTTCTGATTTGAAGGACTGCTGCCGCTTCAGTCCTGAATTTAAAATTGTGTTGAGAAATAGGAGGAATAAGAAATGACTTGTGAAAGTATATTACATGAAAGCCGTTGATTATGACGTTAAAGGATCGTTCCATGCTCTATTCTTTTGATAACCTTTCCTTTCCTCATCCAGAACAGACAAAAATAGGTAAAAGAATGCTAAAATGTGTAAATGGTAAAATCTGGGTACTGACCATCATAATTGGACTGTTGAAATTCTACAGGTGTTGCTCCCTGACACAATACTGTGTATGTACTGAGAGAACAGTCACCAGCACCTGTGAAATGATAGTTGCTTTCTTCTGAAATTGTGAACATTTTCTAAACTATTTTAGTCTGTTCTGAGTCAGCAGTTCTCAGCACTAACCCACTCATGGACACACTTCAGGCTTTATAATCAGCAGTCTTTGTGAACACAGAGAACCAGCTTCTTTAGTAAATACAATGCACTTATTTTCACTACATTTTGAGAGCTGTTATTCCATTTTAAATAGTGTTTAAATCTTACATGCAGTTGTGAAACTTAAAATCATGTAAGTCCTTTCCTATTCTCACAGCACAAGTGTGGTCCATTCGGCGCAAGTCCTACAATAAGATAAAAGTTGACAGAAACAAAGATTTTCAAAGACTTCAGTACTAATTATTGCTGAAACATTGAAGATTTATAGTGAATTGGAAATACAAACAATATAGTTTTGAAGACAAAGAATATAACTTAAAATAAAATTTAATACCCTTCTGTTTAAGGACACATTAATGGAATGTCCTTTAAAAGATCTGTAAGTCGAGTTTTAGACCCCAAAGAAGAGTACTTCTGGAACAGTCTTGAAGATCCATAGGATAAACTGCCTGAGAGCAGAGTTTTTCATAGTCCACGTTTTAGCGAAGATAGGTGTAAATTTCAGAAGGAACGAACAGTGTTGAAGAAATCTAGACCACTGGTTTAGATCTGTATTTGATATGGTGAAGAAATTCTGTAGCCGATGCAAAAACCCAACTCTATAAATCTCACTGCATAGAGCTGAGAGAGACCTTTTGAGGGTATGATTTTTATGAGTAAGTTTGATGTCTACAAGATGAACAATCAGCAAATGAACTAAATTAGTTAAAGACATTTTAAGCATGTGTGAAAAAAATCCCAGTCAACCAGACAACATAGACAGTTACTATTAAATAACCAGACAATTTCTATTAAACCTCCAAAATGACTCTAATTAAGATATTGAAGACTCGGCAATGGATTTTATTTTTATTTTACTTTTTGCTGAGGCAAGCAGAATTTCATCACGTGAAAAAGACTCAAAATACCTTGACAAAAGCTAAGCTATGTAAGATTTGATACGAGACTGGTTCTTAGAAAGAATTGTTAAAAATTAAAATGTGCATTTTTGCTTTTGAGACAGTGGCTGTCTGGGCAAGCCCAGAATGTCCTGCAAGTCCATACCCTCCTGTCTCAGCCTGAGTGCTGAGATTACAGGTGTGCATGCTTGTGCCCTGAGAAAACCTCAGTTTTTAAACATACAAAATGCTGCAGTGTTCCTAATCATTGACTTTGATAAATAATTGAAAGAAATACACCACAACACAGCAGTTGTGATGAGATTTTCTTATCCACGGGGAGGTAGATGGCGGATGCTGAGCTTTTAAGCCCCAAATAATCAAAGAATCAGGAAAGTGGAGGAAGGAAAAGATTTGTTATAAATTAAATTCTTGAAATTCACACATATCCCAGTGAAAACAAATCAGAGCTACAAAATGATTTCTGTGTTCCTACTTAGTTTCTTATTGCAGCTACTTTGAGTTGACAGGAAGCCAGCACCGTAGCGATGCCAGCTAAGAGCTAGAGTGTGTCTGGAAGCCCGTCCTAGCATGGAGCGCTTCTCAGTCCTCCCAGCTGCTAACCCGTTTCCTTACTTTCATTTGATGGGATGGATCTGAATCCCTATGTAGATCTTTAAAACATTTGCATTTCACAAGTATCTTTGTGTTTGTGGGATGTCTAAAGGTTCTTGACAAAGTGGATTTCAGATGAGGCATGCCAGCGACGACAACGAAATCTGTGAGTGCGTGGATATCACCTTTTCCAAAGCCAGGGACTGGAGCTGCCTTTACATTAGCAATTCTCGTCGTTATAATTGTCACGTTTGCCATCGTAAGCAGTGCCTTGGAAATGTCAGGATTTATGTAATTCTCCTTTCCGGTGTTAAATATTATCTCTGAATCTGGCTCTCTGTTCTGAAATTCTGCTTTTTTAGTCATAAACATGGAACTGTGAGTATCATGTTTAATTTCCGCTCGACTCGTTATTGCAGACTAAGTTGTCTTCTTTGTCCCTGCATGGTGGTTTTGTTTCAGGCTGACGTGATTAACTTGTGAGAGCAGGATGATATCATATGAGCAAAGGTTAATTCTGACATAGAAGTTTAGGGTAGAGTCCTTTCTTGCTTCAAACTGCAAGCCAGCTAATTTTCTATATGAAATTACTTCTGAGGGGCAAAATGGGGTCTCTGGGAAACACGTCCTGCGGGTCATCTGTCTCCTCCCTGCTGGCTTGGTGAAGTTTCTGCTCTGAAGAAGCTGGTGCTGGTGCTGGTGCTGGTGCTGGTGCTGGTGACCACTGCTTCCTCTGCACTTGAGTTCCCTTGGTCTCCTGAGTCCATGAGCATGCTTCAGAGGCTGCGGAATCATTTTCGGTAGAACAGCTTTGATGCTTTAACTGTTTCTTGTAGATGAAAAGGTCTAAGGAGAATTCTGAACACGGGGCGTATTCAGATCTGCTGCAGCGCCAAAAGGCAACCATGGTTGAAAATAGCAAACTCACAGGAAAGATCAGTGAGCTGGAAAGAATGGTAGCTGAGCTAAAGAAACAGAAATCTCAGGTAGAGGAAGAGCTTCCGAAAGTTAAGGAGGCTGCAGAAAACGAACTGAGGAAGCAACAGAGGAACGTGGAGGACATCTCCCTGCAGAAGCTGAGGGCTGAGAGCCAGGCCAACCAGTACCGCCGAGAGCTGGAGACCATTGTCAGAGAGAAGGAAGCTGCCGAGCGGGAGCTGGAGCGAGTGAGGCAGCTTACATCCGAGGCCGAGGCCAGGAGAACTGCGGTGGAGGAGAACCTCCGCAACTTCCGGAGTCAGCTGGAGGAAAACACCCTCACAAGAAGAACCCTCGAAGATCATCTCAGGAGGAAGGACTCGAGCCTCAGCGACCTGGAACAGCAGAAGCAGGCGTTAGTGGAAGAACTCCGACGAAAGCGAGACCACGAGGAGGAACTCTTGACGCTGGTGAAGCAGATGGAGAAGGACCTGGCCTTCCAGAAACAGGTGGCTGAGAAGCAGCTGAAAGAAAAGCAGAAGATTGAATTGGAAGCAAGAAGAAAAATAACCGAAATTCAGTATTCGTGTAGAGAAAATGGGCTGCCTGCCTGTACCGTCACACAGGCCACATCATGTAGGGTTGTGGCGGGTCCCCAGAAGCACGACAGACAGAAAGAGGAGGAACTTAAGCAGCAGGTCGATGAGCTGACTGTCGCCAACAGAAAGGCAGAGAAAGAGATGAGGGAGCTCAAGTATGAACTCAGTGCTGTCCAGCTTGAAAAGGCTTCCTCTGAGGAAAAGGCGCGGCTGCTGAAAGACAAACTGGACGAGACAAATAACACCCTCAAGTGTCTCAAAGGGGAGCTGGAAAGGAAGGATCAGGCCCAGGAACGCTACTCCCAGCAGCTCAGGGAACTCGGCAGGCAGCTGAACCAAACCACAGACAAAGCTGAAGAGGTCAGGCAGGAAGCCAACGACCTCAAGAAAATAAAGCATAACTACGAGTTAGAATTAGAGTCTCTCCATCAGGAGAAAGGAAAACTCCAGAGAGAAGTGGACAGAATCACGAGGGCCCATGCACTAGCTGAGAGGAACATCCAGCATTTAAATTCCCAGGTTCATTCTTCACAGGATGAGAAGGAGCTCTCGGATGAAAGAAGACAACTCTGTCAGAGAAAGTCGGATCATCTACAAGAAGAGTTTGAGAAGAGCCATGCACAGTTGCTTCAGAACATTAAAGCTGAGAAAGAAAACAATGATAAAATCCGGAAGCTCAATGAAGAGCTGGAGAAAAGCAATGAGTGTGCAGAAATGCTCAAACAAAGGGTGGATGAGCTCACGCGGCAGAATAACGAAACCAAGTTAATGATGCAGAGGATCCAGGCTGAGTCCAAGAACATAGTCCGAGAGAAACAAGCTATCCAGCACAGATGCGAAGTGCTGCAGATTCAGGCAGATGGCTTTAAAGATCAGTTACGTAACACCAACGAGCACTTGCACAAACAGACAAAAACAGAACAGGATTTCCACCGGAAAATTAAAAGCCTGGAAGATGATCTCGCCCAAAGTCAAAACTTAGTAAGTGAATTTAAGCAAAAATGTGACCAGCAGAGCATCATCATCCAGAATACGGAGAAGGAGGTGAGGAATCTGAGCGCTGAGCTGAGCGCTTCCAAAGAGGAGAAGCGGCGGGAAGAGCAGAAGGCTCAGCTGCAGCGGGCTCAGGTGCAGGAACTAAATGACAGGCTGAAAAGGGTGCAAGATGAGCTGCACTTGAAGACCATCGAAGAGCAGATGACCCACAGGAAGATGGTCCTGCTCCAAGAAGAGTCGGATAAGTTCAAACGCTCAGCAGATGAGTTTCGGAAAAAGATGGAAAAATTAATGGAGTCCAAGGTCATCACGGAAAATGATATTTCTGGCATCAAGCATGACTTTGTGTCTCTTCAGAGAGAAAACTGCCGAGCGCAAGAGAACGCGAAGCTGTGGGAGACAAACATCAGAGAACTCGAGCGGCAGCTCCAGTGCTACCGGGAGAAGATGCAGCAGGGCCAGCACGTCGAAGCAAATCATTTTCAGAAGTGTCGGCAACTTGAGGAGGAGCTGATCGCCCAGAGACGTGAGGTTGAAAACCTCAAGCAAAAAATGGACCAGCAGATAAAGGAGCATGAGCATCAGTTAGTTTTGCTCCAGTGTGAAATTCAAGAAAAAAACACAACCAGAGATCAGACCGCCACATCAGGTTTCGATATGGCAGGGAGAGAGTGCCACCACCCCACAGAGACTTCCTCTGGGAACTCTGGACACCTCAGCCTAAAGTCCAGATGTCCACTGTCGAGGTGGACTCAGGAAACACAACAGGTAGAAGAAAAATGGCAGCATAGGCTTACTGATCCAGTTCCAAAGGAACAGTTCCGGCAGCCAGGGCCTCTGCTGAGCACGGAGAGCAGCCACCCATGCTACTCAGAGTATTTTTCTCAGACAAGCACTGAATTGCAGATAACTTTTGATGAGAAAAACCCACTTTCAAGACTGTCTGAATTAGAGAAGATGAGAGACCAAGCCTTGCAGACCTCCAGACCACCTGTTAGGTATCAAGATGACAAACTCGAAATGGAATTGGTGAAGCTGTTAACACCCTTAGAGGTATACATTGTCCTGAGACCTTATTAGATATATCAGGCCAGGCTTCTTCTATTTCTTTGTTCTCTAAGACTACATTTTTAACAGTTTTGAATGCTAAGATGTATATAGTTCTGAAAAAAAAAATAGTACTATATTTTCCATCAGTTTGGCTGCATTCTTACTATGAATTACCACTGATTTATGAATGCTTGAGATTGCACATAAACATGGATAAATTGACTTATCTATAGGAGTATATATTTAATGTGATTATATATTTTTTTAAAATCTAGAAAATGGCTGTGTGTGCAGTTTAGTGGTAGAAGACTTCCCTAGCATGTGCAAGGGCCTGGGTCAGAGTCCCAGCCCCACAAGAAAGGGGAAAGGCTAGACGAACCAAATACTACCTTCAACTTGTGTGGCCAGGTTTCATTTCTGTCTTTTTCCACATACTACTATAATGTGTTTAATTGTTAAAACCTGAGTCTCTCAAAATATTATTCTCCCCTTGTCCTTGGTTTGCCATTCTTCACGTATTTACATATCAGGGGATTGTGTTGGGTCGAGAACATTTCCTAAGGTGCCGTCGTGTTCTCTAGTCAACTCTTAACATCTTAACCGTTCCTGTTGCAGATAGCTAAGGACAAACAGTGTGGTACGCACACAGAAGTCACGAGCCTAACACAAGAGAAGAAGCTGGGTTCCAGTGCTGGCGGATGGATGCTGGAAGGGTCCAGGGCATCTGGGGGACTCAAGGGAGATTTCCTTAAGAAAAGCATGGGGCCAGAGACTTCCCAGAGCTTTGACCTTAACCAAGCATGTTCTGTTAGGGAGGACGAGTTCCAGTTCCAAGGGCTCAGGCACAGTGTGACTGGCAGGCAGCTGGTTGAAGCGAAACTTCTGGACCTGAAAACAGTCGAGCAGCTGCGGCTGGGCTTGAAGACGGTTGAAGACGTTCAGAAAAGTCTTAGCAGGTTTCTGACCAAAGCCACCTCCATTGCAGGACTTTATTTAGAGTCTACCAAAGAAAAAATGTCATTTGCATCTGCTGCCCAGAAAATCATAATAGACAAAATGATGGCTCTGGCCTTTTTGGAAGCTCAGGCTGCAACAGGTTTTATAATCGATCCAATTTCCGGCCAGACTTACTGTGTTGAAGATGCGGTTCTTCGAGGCGTTGTTGATCCTGAGTTCAGGAATAGGCTCCTGGAGGCAGAGAAGGCAGTTTTGGGATATACACATTCTTCTAAGACACTGTCAGTGTTCCAGGCAATGGAAAATAGAATGCTTGACAGGAAGAAAGGTAAACATATCTTGGAAGCGCAGATTGCCAGTGGGGGCGTCATCGACCCCGTGAGAGGCATCCGTGTTCCTCCAGAAACCGCTGTGCAGCAGGGCTTGCTGAACAATGCCATCTTACAGTTTTTGCACGAGCCGTCCAGCAACACTAGAGTCTTTCCTAATCCCAACAACAAGCAGGCTCTGTATTACGCAGAGTTGCTGCAGATGTGTGTGTTTGATGTCGATTGCCAATGCTTTCTCTTGCCATTTGGGGAAAGGGACATATCCAGTCTCAACGTAGAGAAAACTCATAAGATCTCCGTGGTAGATACGAGAACAGGAGTGGAACTGACCGCGTATGAGGCTTTCCAAAGAAACCTGATTGACAAAAGTATTTATCTTGAACTTTCAGGGCAGCAGTACCAGTGGAAGGAAGCCACATTTTTTGACTCCTATGGACATCCTTCTCACATGCTGACCGATATTAAAACTGGTTTGCAGTTCAATATTAGTGAGGCTGTAGAGCAGGGAACACTAGACAAAGCCTTGGTCCAGAAGTATCAGGAAGGCCTTACCACACTAACAGAACTGGCTGACTTTTTGCTGAGCAAGATAGTTCCTAAGAAGGACTTGCATAGTCCCATCGCAGGCTACTGGCTGACTGCTAGTGGGCAAAGGATCTCCTTACTTAAAGCCTCCCGTAGAAATTTGGTTGATAGGATTACTGCCCTCAGATGCCTCGAAGCCCAAGTCAGTACAGGGGGGATAATTGATCCTCTGACTGGCAAAAAGTACAGGGTGGCTGAGGCTTTGCATAGAGGCCTAGTTGATGAGGGCTTTGCCCAGCAGCTGCGCCAGTGTGAACTGGTCATCACGGGCATTAGCCATCCTGTCACGAATAAAACAATGTCTGTGGTGGAAGCCGTGAACGCAAATATCATAAGTAAAGAGATGGGAATGCGATGTCTGGAATTCCAGTACCTGACGGGGGGCCTGATAGAGCCCCAGGTTCACACGAGGCTGTCAGTAGAGGAGGCACTTCAGGTCGGTATCATCGATGTCCGCATTGCCACCCGGCTCAAAGACCAAAAGTCCTACGTCAGGAATATAATATGTCCCCAGACTAAAAGAAAGTTGACTTATAAGGAAGCCTTAGAGAAAGCTGATTTTGATTTCCACACAGGACTTAAGCTGTTGGAAGTTTCTGAACCCTTGATGACAGGGATTTCCAGCCTCTACTATTCTTCCCAGTAGGGCGTTTAAATAACCTTAAACATGCAGAGGCAGTGCCGGCTGTTTCCCGCCATCTGTTCAGAGCAGATGGTGTCTGCTGAACGTGCGATCTAGGAACTGTGTCACTAGCTCGAAGCACTGATTCTTGTAGGCTAGAAATAACTCCCTGCTCTGAAAACACGGCCATTCTTAAATTGAAAATGACAAAAGATTGGCTGCTCCTGAAAATAGTTAACATTTTTTAAAAGATCTTATGTCACTAAAATAAATGGTCTTTACCTAGAAAATGGAGTCAGCATGGTGGCCATCAGCACATTCCCAGACTTCTCCAATCCTTTGGAGTCCTTCCACTGAATAGATTCAGCGTGTTTCTGATGTGGTACAACATGCTGAAAGAGCCTCTCACAGAGCGTCACAGGAGCGAAGAGAACATGCAGATGTGTCCAGACCTGTGAGGCTGGAGATTGCTTCCTGCAGGCTGCGATGCTCTTTCCATATTAAAGTGTCCGCTGTAATCTCTTCTTTCAGTTGAGACTTTGGAGTTAAAATCAGACAAGTCCTTTGTGCATTGGAGGGGAGGGATCATCTGTGTGTTGTCATTCTCCTTCTGCTTCCTGTTGTCTGATAGCTTCTGTCACGGCATTCGCTATTGTAATGCTAATGTAAAGGCAGCAATTCCCAGATCTCTCGGTCTCATGAATAAAGTGGAGTCTGCTTATTTGTCATACTCGTGAAGCAACTGGATGGTCAGAGCGGTGAATAAAGACCAATTCTCAAAGCCTTCCCAGCTACCTAGACATCTGCGGTGTGACATGGTGAACATGGCTAAGTGAATGAATAAAAGATATCATAACCTGTGTGCATGATGGGAAGACATTTTTGCATTCTTATTTTCTCAGCGAGGATAGATCCATTGACAAGCTCAGTCATCAGACATTTACTAGAATGTATCTCTTTTTTTAACCACTTGTACCTATCAGAAGTCTTTGGAAGAAGAGAAGAAGCAACATGTTGAAAAAGCTAAAGAATTGCAGAAATGGGTATCAAATATCAGCAAGACAATGAGAGATGGGGAGAAAGCTGAGAAACCTCTCTTCTCTAAGCAACAGGTATTCACAGAGGTCCTACTACTGACTGGGTAGAATTTACTTCTGCAAAGCACAGCCTAGAAACCTTTACCTCAATTTCCCCCAGGGTTATAGGCTTTTATAATGAAGATCTAAGAGGTTGGGCCATTAGGCAGTTTGCCCAAAGAGTCATAGTTAGAATGTGCTGGAAAATGGTGTCCTATTCCAAAGCCAGAACCATTGGCATTGACTCCGCTATCAGCAAGCCAATGGATTATAGGACCTTATCTTACATAGATCCACTCCCTGATTGGAATGACTAGGATTGTTGGCCAGTGAAGTCATCAATCCTCCATGCCACCCACGTAAGGAAGACATGGAGAATACCATCTAGGATGTGAACGTTGTTGAGTGTCTAGTCATTCTTTCCTGGATCTTTTCAGTCTCCAAAGGAAACAGTCACTTAGGGTTAGTTGGGAGACTACATCACGGAGGCGCTTTTGCTCCATAGTGTGCCACTTGAAGCTGACATTGGCATTACTGTCTAAATTCTATTAGTGCTGTTATTGGTGGTGGGAATTCCCTCTAGCTTGTATTTTGTTGTTGGGTTGGTCTTGTTTTACAGAGACAGGGTTGAGGCTATTTTCATCCTTGCTATGCAGCAGAGGCTGGCCTTGAACTCCTGATCTTTGGCCTCAGTTTCTCAAATGCTAGGATTTCAGACATGTGTCATCATGCCTACACATGGACACCAAGAGAAGCTTTTGTGAAAGGAATAGTTTTCCTACAGAAGGCTACCTCCCACCCTTGCCTGACGGGTAGTGTCTAGAGCTATCATTCAGTGTCTGTGTTTCTGTCTCTCCTAGCTCTGCCTCAGTACTTGTACTTAGCTGACATTGACACGGGGGTCAGGAAAGCTATCAACTCTTGTCTATTCCTGCTTTTGATATAAGGCCAAAGAGATCTGACTTGGGGTTTCTCTTGAAGAGGTTTATACTGAGTATATACTTAAAATATTCATTGAAAAGGGAGCCAGTTAGCTCATAGTCTTTCATGGTGTGTATCAGTCAAATGGAAGAATTCAAAAAGCATTTACGTTTGGTGTGTCTTAAACCAAAACCCTTCAAGGTAATTTGCCTCAAATATTTGATTTACAGCACCTTATTCCCAAGTTTTTCCTTACTAACAAATAGGAAAGCATTAAAATAGGCACATAAGCCCTAGCAAAGATGTCTTAAGAGAATGTGTTTCTTCAGAAGCATGAATTATATGAACACCTGGTGTCTTCACATTATAGTCACAAATTCTCTAAAACACGAGTAAGATTTAGATGTACTATACACAAACACTTTTAAGTAAGATCATGGCCTTAACTGGAATTCTACCAGAACACTTGCTCTTTATTTTTTAAAGGACAAAGTAGTTTGATATACATAATGAATGAGTTCTTGAAGATTCTATTTGCTTTCATGATTACGTACAGCCACACAGAGTAGATATAAATTGACTAAGCAGTATCCCTGACATCTTTCAGTTGGCCCAGTATTCCCTCTCATTCCTGATCATTTACAAAAATGGATGCCTTGATCAAATGAAAAGGGGTTAAGGAACAGTCTTGGGAAAACTATTAGTCTCTCAACCAAAGGGTTTTCCTTCTCCGATTGCCACAGATGACTTGGAATAGAGGCTGCTAACCTGAGCAGTTATCTCTTGATCTAGAGGCCTACTGAGTACTGCTTTCACCATAATGAAAGGAACCTCTGGAAGGAAGATCCCTGTCCCACGGTGTCCTTTTGAGAATGATGTTAGTGAGCAAGCACTGGGTTTTTGGCTTTTGGTACGGACATGGTTGAGCCAGGGCAGATGCAGGAACGTGTGGTGTTGCATTGTTGTGTTAGCACTGTGACTGGAGGGCTCTGCACTTTCTCTTGTGTCTGCTGCGGAGAGCTGACCTCTTAGGCAGGCCTTACGCTGCTCACAGCCAATAGGCTATGTGTGTCACCCAGAAAATACAGCTGTCACTTTTTATCTTGATGAAAATGGTGTATTTTTAAATTATTATTTAATACTCATTTTGTGGGGGAGTATTTGAATGTGCCTTCTTTACCTTACAGCTTTCCAGTAAAGAAATAGCAACCAAAAAGGAGCAAATCTCTGAAGCTCTTCAAGCCACCCAGCTTTTTTTGGCTAAACACGGAGACAAGTATGTTGGATCTCATTGTCCCTTTCGTGCAGGGGAGGGTCAGCTTCTAAAATACATCCAGCAGACAAAAGGCAGTGCGTCTTACCCAACGTCTCAACCGTGGACACAAACCAACCAGATTTCACTTAATAGAACATGAGTTTACAATCCGTCACCGCTGGTCTTCACTGTTCTGCAGTGTACCAATCCTCATCTAGTTCTGACAAGTACACTGTCTCAGACAGGTTGAAGATGAGTAGCCATTCTGTGTTGGTTCAGGTTCTAAGTCAGGTTCTACATAGTGCCCTAAAACTACATTTGGGAAACTTCATACATGTGTTCTTTGTGTGTGTCTGTGTGCATGTGTGCACATACATGCGTGCATGGGTGTGTGTTTCTGTGTTTTCTAGTCCTATTTTTCACAAGTTATGTATTTCAGCCAGTCATTGTAACGGAGAGAAGGCGTTTTTCCCTTGTTTTGAATCCTCTTGGAATGTCCTCTTCATGGTTACCCTGAAATGATTTTATGTTATTCCTTGAAGAATCCTTCTCTGATCATCTTGCAGTAGTTACTCTGGTTCTGTTTGTTTGCTTTGTTTTTACCCTGGAGTGTAACTAACCTATTAGTTTAACTCTTTAGTCTCTTTCTTAAGCAGAGGAAGTAATCTTATATAGGCTCTTTACTTTAATCCTTAATCATTTCAAAGCCTGTGAAATAATTCAGGCTCTATTTTAAGATTAAGTAGCAGAGATATTTGAGGCAATTTACATACTTGCACCCTTGAAGGCTGACATTACCTCTTGACACTTGCCTACTGTAGACTGACAGATGAAGAAAGAAATGAATTGGAGAAACAAGTGAAAACTCTTCAAGAAGGATATAATTTATTATTCAGCGAATCTCTGAAACAAGAATCACAGCCGTCCGGAGATAGGAAGGTAGAGGAGAAGGTAACGTTACTCACAAATGTGAGGTCTGTTCAAGAGTCTGGTTTGTGCATGACTGAAAATATATGGCAATGTACCTCGAGGTTTATATGTGGAAAATACTTGGAGAGAATTTATTTGAGTGTTTGGAGGCTTTTGTGTACAAAGTTCAATCTTACATGTGCTGATCATCATTCATTCTGCGCCTTCTTAATCTCTGCCTTGCATGGTGAAGGAGAACGCATTCATTCCCTAACTCTTCTTTTTCAAAACCATTCTTTACTGTTAGGTATTTTATTATAAAATATGGTTAGGAAAGAGCCTACGGTTGATATGCTGTGGAGCTTTTCGGTTGTCTGAGATATCCACGAGAATTATTTGAGTGATGGGGAGCTACATCTTAAAGTGAGAATACTCTCATATCTTAAGCAAAAAAATAGCAGAAATCGCTTAAAAATTGTCCGGCTCACAGTCATGTGCCGAACACAATGTCCGATAGTTAAAAGGTGTGTGTTATTTTTAGCTCCATGACTTCTAGGAATACTTTCACATAATTTGTCATGTTTGGGGGTATGTAACAAATTTCCTGGCTCCTTAGGGTTCTGTTTTACTATCCTTGCAAAGGTTTGTGTGCTGTAAACATCAATAGCATGGAGTCTGATGCTCTCTCATATCAGTAGACCCTAATCTCACCCAGATGTAGAAAGCATGATTTGCCTTCTAGATGTGTGTTCTATTTTCTCACTGCCCACACCCACTCCTGTGTCCTCACTAACCTTGTTAGTGTGCCCGGATATTAAGTTTTCAATTCACAGATGCATGTTGTTTTCAAAGCTTTATCACATCCTGTGCTGATGAATAGATCACTGACATAGATCACTTGTGCATTTGAGCTACCTAACATTCACAAGCTGCCTTGGTAAGTAGAGGATTTTTTTTTATGATTAAGTATACTATTATAAAAACAAAACCACCGATGTTATAACTGTCTTGGGTACCAGACTGACCCAGTCTCTCTGCATTTCCCTTTCAGCAGGATAAAGTGATTGCAGGCGCCATGAACCAGGCAACTGGAGAGGTCCTTTCTATCTTCCAGGCGGTTTTAAGAGGCCTGATTGACTATGAGACAGGAATCAGGTTGCTTGAGGCACAGCTAGTGATTTCTGGTTTAATTTCACCAGAATTAAGGAAGTGTTTTGACCTCCAAGATGCTAAAAGCCATGGCCTCATTGATGAACAAATTCTGTGCCAACTGAAAGAACTGAATGAAGTAAAGCAAGTTATCTCCATGGCATCGCCTTCCACGATTCCTGTGCTACATTGTCTGACTCAAGGCTTGATATCAGAACCCATGGCCATACGAGTTCTTGAGATACTACTTTCGGCAGACTCTCTGGTGGTTCCAGCCACGGGCGAGCACCTAACCTTGCAAAAGGCTTTCCAGCAGAATTTGATTTCCTCAGCATTGTTTTCTAAAGTCCTAGAAAGGCAAAATACTTGCAAAGATCTTATTGACCCATGCACTTATGAAAAGGTATCTTTAACGGACATGGTACAGAGAAGTATTCTGCAGGCAAATACTGGGATTTGGCTTTTACCCGTGAGACCGCAGGAGGCCGGCAGAATAACACTGAAATGTGGAAGAAGCATCAGTGTCCTAAGAGCAGCTCATGAAGGGCTCATAGACCGTGAAACCATGTTTAGGCTGCTAGGTGCACAAATTCTGTCTGGTGGTCTGGTCAATTGCAACTCTGGTCAGAAAATGACTGTCGAAGAAGCCATGGCAGAGGGAATGATTGACAGAGACACTGCAAGTAGTATCCTCACCTATCAGCTTCAGACAGGAGGAATCATGCGCTCAAACCCTGCTAAGCGCTTGACAGTAGATGAGGCAGTGCAGTGCGACTTGATAAGTCCCAGCAGCGCGCTTCTGGTTCTAGAGGCCCAGCGGGGCTACGTTGGACTCATTTGGCCCCACTCTGGTGAAATCTTTCCCACATCCTCTTCCTTAGAGCAGGAGTTGATTACAAATGAATTAGCCTACAAAATTCTGAATGGGAGACAGAAAATTGCTGCTCTCTACATTCCAGAAAGTTCTCAGGTCATTGATTTGGATGTTGCTAAGCAGCTGGGAATTATAGATAATAATACCGCCTCGATTTTAAAAAATATAACACTGCCAGACAAAATGCCAGATTTGGGAGATTTGGAAGCTTGTAAAAATGCCAAAAAATGGCTTTCTTTTTGTAAATTCCAGCCGTCTACAGTTCATGACTACAGGCAAGAAGAGGATGGTTCTGACGGTGAAGAGTCAGTCACAATCCAGAGCTCAGAACAAACTAAAAAGTTATTCCTATCTTATTTAATGGTGAACAGCTACATGGATGCAAACACGGGACAGAGACTTTTGCTCTATGATGGGGACTTGGACGAGGCTGTGGGCATGCTGCTGGAGAGCTGCAGTGCAGAACTCGGAGCCGCCACATCCGTAAAAGAGAGTCTCTCTGTCTTAAGCATCCCTGGTGCCTCTCCTCATTATGCTTCAAGTAAAGAAAAGGATAAATGTCCATCGCCAGCAGCTGTCTCTGATAAATGTCCTTACAGACAACCTGAACATAAAGAGGCTCTTGACAACAAAGAACGTGCCATAAATGAAGAGCTTTGTAGACCAGAAAACAATGACAACAGTAGTGAATTGTATTGGCCAGAAAACCTAATGAATACAACAGCCATTGTTCATAAAGGCAATAGTCCATCTAGTGTGTGTGTCCCCAAACCTGCATCATATTCAACACAGCCTGAGTTTGCAGAAGGGAGCATGCTCAGACATGATTCTGATGACGTACTTCAAGACTATAAAAACCAAAGTGAGCTTGAAACAAAGGTACATCTGGATGAGCGTAATCATTCTAAAATCACTCAAGATTTTGCAGGTAGTTTTTTGACTTCAAAAGCTGGTAGACTTTGTAACTGGAACGAACGAGAGAATGAAGATAATATGCAGAATGACTCATCTGTCTTTGACTACTCCCCCCGACTGAGTGCTCTGCTAAGTCATGATGAGTTGAGGCACAGTCAGGGACGTTTCAGAGATCCACAAGCCCCACAGAATGTGAGCTGTATAGGTGAAGCTTCCCCATTGTCATTCAATGACCAAAAGGTGTCGTCTGATAGAAATACAGGAGAAAAATTCCAAGACCAATTTCTGGGAATCGCTGCTATTAACATCAGCTTCCAGGGGCAGCACAGTGGACAGAGGTCTTTAGAGGTCGGGTGTGGCGATCCTCAAGAGCAGTGTCACAGTGATGAGTACATGTCAGATGCTTCAGGTGAGCACAGTGATGAGCCCATGTCAGATGCTTCAGGTGAGAGTGGAAATGCCCAGCCAACAGATGAAAATGAGAAAAGTGCATCTGCGGTGGAAGAGCGCTCCTGTACCACAGTCCCTGGGGATGGTTCATGTACCAACACGCTGTCCCCTGGAGGAGCCATTGGTGCTGATGACTATGAGACATCGCTGCTGGCTGATCAGCAGAGTGACACAGGAACAGACACTGAGAGTGATGATTATTTTTATGATACCCCCTTGTTTGAAGATGATGACCATGATTCTCTAGTTCTCCAAGCTGACGACCACGATTGTTTGCACCCTGAGGACTATGACATGATGCAGGAGGAAAATGATGGGACCCCTCCTCCTGCTGACGTTTCTTATGACGTTTCAAAAGAGAAGGAAAATCCTTTGTTTCCCCAGGGAGGTAGAGTTGATGGCTTAAGTGTGACAAGCAAAGTGCCTTGTTCTCAGGAACTTCTTGTAGGGAAGGAGAAACTTGAATTACATTTAGTTGGCCAGAAACAGTGCAGTTCAGTTGGCTCAGACAAAGTGAATGAACAGTTGATGGAGTCTGTATCTAAAAGGGAAAACCTGTGTGACCTTGACAATGATGGTTCTGACTCACTGACTGATGGTGAAATTATAGGAAGGAAAGAGGGCTCCGGGGCCGCATTAACACCTGATGGTAGCCGGAGAGGAAGAAGAGAGGAGTTTGACACTAGCCAAGAAAGTCAATCTGATACTGATCATGGAGGTTCTGAAGAAAGTAGAGAAAGTTACGGGCATTATATATATGATGATAGTGACAGTGATGATGATGATGACGATGACACTCATAGTGGGGACTATAGCAGTGAAGATGGTGACCGAGGAGGAGGACAAGGAGTAGAAGATGAGAATGGAAAGCCCATGCGCCAAGTTGAAGATACCCAGTTGTGTGCCCCTGCTGTAAAGGAACCCGGGGATGGAAACCGAAGTCTCAGTCACACGGTCCTCCTAGAGGAAATGTGCCACGCAAGTGTGTTGCAGCCGCAGTCAACTGGCGAGACAAGTCAAGGCACTGAGAGAAGCAACCATGTGGAAATTAGAACTGGAACTGAGGAGGAAAACAAAGCAAGTCTATCCAATCACGTGGCAACCAAAGACGCATCGCTGCCTGGTGCTAAACACAGCACCTCGGAAAAAATGTTTGGCAGTATTTTGTCTGACAACACTGGTTTGGTTTCTGAATTAGAAAGAGATGTAATGAACACAAAAGTCAAGTTGGTTCAAGGGCCAGAATCTACAGATATTCTAAAAGCTGAAGACAGGCATCTTGAGAATGTATCACCCCAAATCAGACCATCTTCGGATAAAGTCATCTGTTCTGGAACTGAGTTAATAGGTGGACCTTCTGAGGAAAGCCGGTTGTCATCCACAGTAAATGACAAGGGTCAGCAAGGGAGCGGAAGAGGTCTGGTTAAAGGTAGAGACTGCAAAAACGACCCTCTGGTAGATGAAACATCCATTCAGGAAATGGGCTTGGGTAAAGAAGGGTTGATAGAAGGCCCAGGAGAAGAAGAAAGGTATCTCAACCCTTTTCCAAATACAAGGGCAGCAGAGAGCCTCACCATGACTGACAGGCAATTTCTCCATCTAATAACGGACACCGAGGAACTTAGTCACAGAGGGGACCTGAAAGCAACAACTGTGATTCTTGGAGATGAATCCGAAAGTGTGCCAAGGAGGGTTAGCGTGAGTCCCGTTCCGTTTGAGACTCTTGCAGAAATATTTGACACCTCTGCTTCTAAAATGACTCCTGCTTACTTGACTTCAGATGCTACATCCTCCGAGGTAAAGAGCCACGTAGGAGACGATGCCGTCACAGGAGGACTGGAGACAGAGAGTGGTCCGCTTACTTCTTTAGAACATGGCGACAAATGTACAACAGCGGGTGTACTAGAACCAAACAAAAATATCCCAAGCTGTGTCTCAGTGGTTTCTCCTCCCTTGGAAGATGATTTACAGACAGTAAATAATGCAGAAGAAAAGTCTGTCATTCCCCAAGAAGACTGGCCTCCAGGTGCCGAGATCCAGCAAAGTGATCCTTGTAGCAAAGAGAGCGTCTCAGAAGGAAAAGCAGGAATTGAAGAGGTCACTACAGAAAATAGTGACACCCCACTGTCACCCTTGCCTCTTAAAAGTGTGGAGGACTGTGGAGACAGCCCCGGTTTTGTGCCGTCTAAGCTGCGTCTGAACGGGGTGGGAAACAGCACGTTAGGTGTGGACGGCTCACTGTTAGAAAGCGGCAGGGAAAAGGAAACCACAGAGAGATGGCCACACAGAGAACCAGCCTTCTCTCCAAAGCTCCACGAGGGAGAGGTCCGTGCTCCCGAGTGCTCTCTGGCGTGTGTAGATGATGGAAAGAGGATCTTGCAAAGCGTATTAGAAGAAGGTCATGTGAATCTCCAAGACGGGAGAGACCCTTCCGCCTGCACAGACACCAGAATTTCAATTCAGAACTTAATTAAAAGAGTTGACTTGTCTCAGTTGCCAGATGAAGTATCTGGTGTGCCCGGTCCTGGCATTCCCCCCATGAATAACTCATCAGAACTGAAGGCAGAGAGTGGAGGTGATCCACTCTGTATTGAGAGTCTGCAGTTGGAACTTCTGGATATACTGAAGCAAAACCAGCACACCCCAGGCACATCTGAGTTGGTAAAAGTATTAACTCAAATGGAATGTGATCCAAAGAAAAAAGGCATCGCATCTGAATTATTTCCACCACAACTTAAAAATGCTTTTCGTAAGCTGCTGATTGACGGGAATGCCACTGAAAGAGAACAGGCTGAAGCCTCAGATCGGAGCCCATGTGCTGCTTCCGAGCTGGTGGAAGAAAAGCCGGACAGCTGCAGTGACCTTCAAAGCAAAGAAGGAAGTCGCTGTTCCCTGAGTCCACAAACTGTAAGAGACACAGGGGCAGAACACTCTGCTGTGCACACAGCAGCCTTGCCAAGAGGTGAGAAGCTTGAAGAGCTATGCAGCGAGCCTCCAGGTCATTCAGAATATATTTCTATATCAAAAACAATGGCCTCTGGTGACAGCTCAGTGGAAAAAGTGAGTTGACGTATGCATTTTTTTTCCATGACAGTTCCACAATAAACATGTGGGGGTTATCCCTTACATTTTGTTTTCTTTTAATTTTTTTTCATAAAGACTATTAATTACTGTGTCCAAATTTGCTTTTAGTGTTCCAATGAGTTGCAACAGTGTTTACAACATACTGAGAAAATGCATGAATATTTGGCTTTGCTTCGAGATATGAAACCCCCCTTAGACAACCAGCCACCTGCGGATAGCAGTCTAGAAGCCTTGAAGAATCAGCTTACGCAGTTAGAGGTAAGAGTGGCCTACTAACATGCCTATCAGCTTTCCATCAGTGATCAAGTTAAGGAGGAGATTTATTTGGGTTCCTGACTTTAGAGCCTCTTACCTATGATCTCTTGGACCTGTTGCTTTTAGTTTTGTGGCAAGGCAGTTCATCACCTCAAACTGAAAGGCAGAAGAAAGAGTCCATAGTGCCCTGTCCCCTTTGAGAGTACCACACCCCTGGGATCTGATGTCCTCTTCCTAAGTCCACTTCTTAAAGTTTCTAATCCTCCCCTGTAGCACCAAGCCAAGGACCAAAGCACCAGCCGTGGGAAGCATCCAGATCCCATCTGCAGTAGCTGGTGGTTCATGGATGATACCATTTCGTGCACAGTTGGAATGCTTCGCTCTTGTGTTTTTGTTTGGGTTCGTGGTTTCTGCTGTTAGTGAATAGGTGTGGACTGTATTTCTCTGCAGACATTTGAGCTGGGATTTGCTCCAGTTGCTGTGTTTTTAAGAAAAGATCTGAAGTTGGCAGAAGAGTTCTTGAAGTCTTTTCCTAGTGACCTTCCCAGAAGACATCGAGAGGCACTGAGCAAAAGCCACGAAAGTTTGCAGAATGCCTTCTCGACCCTCAGCAGTGAATCCTCAGAGAGGAAGAAGCTGATCATGCTCGCAATCGACTCTGAAATGGTAAACATGAAACGGTGAATTCTGAATAAAATGTGATGGGGAATTAAACCATACTTTGAAGGGTTTTTTTTAAAGTATTATATTTGTAACAGTTCTCAACTCTTTTGTTGTTGTTGTTGTTTTCTAGTCGAAGCTCGAAGTTTGTTATAAGGACTTCCTACATAAACTCACATCCTATTCAGATTGGGTGTCAGAGAAAAGCAAATCTGTGGAGGATATTCAAACTGTGAACATCCAGGATACTGAACTTGTAAAGGAAAATGTGAAGTTTCTTAAGGCAAGTATCGAAGTACATATAACAAAGTACAAGACATATAGATTTAGTGTGAAGTGTTCAGGACGAAGACAGTCTTCCCGGGACTATGAGGGATTATTTCCTGTCTTTGGCTGGAAGAGATGTCTTTTCATAGTTGTTCTAGCTCTGGAAGCTCTCCCATACCCCGTACCAAGTTCTCATTACCCCTGACAAACTGACATTTGTGTTCGTAAATGAATTATATACGTATAAGATAGTAAAAAAAGATATGTAAAAGGCTGTACAAAGCTAGTCAAATTATAGGAATCATATTTATATGGTAATTAATTTTGGTCTGAAATTTTTTTTTACAGGCTCTTAATTTCAGCAACATTCCCACTAACATGGTTGGGCTCCTTGCCTCAGAATCAGAAAACTAAAATTATAGTGTGTTAATTCACATTTTGTGTTCTTCATGATCTTGCTATGTGCTTTCATAATTGAAAGGCTAATGAAATATTAGCAGCTACTTTGTGATGTTAATGGGCCTTTCATGACCATGGATGAACCTGTTTGGAGACTTTTGGTTTTTTTGTTTTGTTTTGTTTTGTTTTCGTCGGTTATGTATTAAGTGTGATCTACCAGACAAAGACTGAATATTCTTGGTTTCTTTTTTTTCTATGTTAACTGTGTCATATTTAAATACTTTATCATTGGGGTGATAAATACTTTATCAAGTGGCTTAGTGTAGAAAGTGTTTCCACACTTCTGTGCACATATGAGGATCTGAGTTTAAATCCTAGATTCTGTGTTAAGTGGGGTGGAGTAGCACACATCTGTCACACTAGTGCCTCTGTGGGAAATGGGAGGCGGAGGCAGGAGAATCCCTGGTCGCCTGTTGACCAGCTGGCTGGGAGAAAGCAATGAACAACCCTCAAAGGCCAAGTCTCGAACGAGGCAGAAGGCAAAAACCAACACCTGAGGTTGACCTCTGACCTTTAACCTGGTGCCCTGGCATACACATACCCATACTCCCACACATGCAAGCGCACACACGCACGCACACACACACACACATGCACACACACACACACACACACACACACACACATGCACACAATCACGTAGATACATTACCAGGTGATGGATGGGTAGGTTTGTTGATGACTACTGAGAAAGGATCATTAACCCTTAGTACTGATAGGAGGAGCGTATTTAAGCAACTGACTAATGCTGTAGAACTTCCTCACTGCCACCTACCGTCCTGACAACTCGTACTGCTTTTCCCCAGGATGTGCTAAGAGACCTCACACATACCAAAGTGCAGCTTGAAACGACGGCCTTTGACATACAGTCCTTCATCTCTGACTATGCACAAGATCTGTCTCCCAGCCAAAGCCGACAGCTGCTGAGACTCCTGAATACAACCCAGAAGGGTTTTCTTGATGTGCAGGAGCTGGTAACCACCGAGGCAGGCCGGTTAGAGACTCGCTTACACCGAGAGCAGGAACTCGGTCATCAGAAGGTCTGCCTTTCTTGTGCTGTTGTGAGGGGTTCTGTGTGTGCCTGAGTCGGTATGGGGTGACCTGGGTGGGCTCAGATCACAGCATAGTTTCCCATGTTGATGTTTCCATGCCGTTGATCTGTTTTCATCGTTTTCTAACAGTGTTTTGTCAGGTGAGAGCCTTAATTTTTCTCTCTGGAATTGGAAACCGAAAGCAATCAGAAGTGTCCAGGTTTAACTGATGAAGGTTTAATTCTAGAGGCTCAGAGTGCCATTTCCCCTAGAAGGAGGAGTGGTGAACAGAGTCAGGGCTCGTGCTTCAGAGTATCCGCCTAGAGCAATTGCCTGGATTTGTGTCCTAAATGCTCTACTTTGTCTGCTTTGTGTGACGTAGGAAAGTCACTCGCCCTCACTCTGGTCATTGGTCAGTTAGAAATCGTAGTGTTTATCTGGTGATCCTGTGAGCACTGATAGAGTGATTCCTAGGAAGCAGCCCTGTGCCTGACCCATGCTGAGCTCTTAGTAAACGTGGGCTGAGTTTACTGTGGCTATGATCTAGATAAATGAGTGTGCATGGGGGATAGGAACATAAAAATACAAGTTTTGACTTATTAGCCTTTGAGAGTTCATGAGTTCAGTACTGTGTACTGACGGTAATGAGCATAGGACACACGGATTAAGTAAAAGCGATGCATGTGAAGTTCCTTTAATTCTCGAAGCAATCGGGTGTTGTGTGTCGCATGATAACCTGTATATACATAGCCATATGTTTACTGACAAACCACAACTAACTTCTCTTTTGGTGTCCTTTTGCAGAATTAATTATGTATGTTGCAGGTTTCAAGAGCTTAAGAAAATGGAATGCTTCTTCCTGTCGATCAGAAGTTCCATCTCTCACACCTATGCATGGCCAGTATTCTATCACGCGCCCTCGCCTAAACAGGCTCTTCCGTGTGGATGGGACATGCTCATACTGCACTCTCTGTCTATCCTTGCTCAGTTTGCACTCCAATGCTATCATGTTTACAGCATACTTAAAAAGCTTAATGGAGGGGGTTTGAAAAGTGTATTCTGATAATAGGCTTGCTCAGAAGTGCTTTGAAGGTCACGCATTGAAGGTGTCTTGGGTGTTCTCCCTCTTAGGTTGTGGCAGAGCGTCAGCAAGAGTACAAAGAGAAACTCCAAGGTCTGTGTGATCTCCTCACCCAAACTGAAAACCGCCTGATTAGTCACCAAGAAGCCTTTGTGATTGGAGATGGCACGGTGGAGTTAAAGAAGTACCAGACCAAGCAAGAGGTAGACCTTTGGTGGCAGCAGCCGTATGTCCCTCTTAGGTCTGGTTACAGTGTCTGGAAGGCCACTGGGATTGCTGAAAATGTATCAGCTGTATCAGAAAGCAAGGCATTCCCAGAGGCCCTGAGAAAGTGCTTTAAACTTTATACTAAAAGCTAGATTTACACTTAGAACAGGCAAGGTGACATACTCCATCAAGGGGTAAATGATACATCACAGTGTGGACCCTTTATGTCCAGCTGACTCACTTACACATCAGGAGAAACAGCCTCCAGTCTGAGTTCTTTCTGAGTACTCAGTACTCTCTCTTCCTATTCCTCCGGTCTTTTCCTGTAATTCATTCTTTTTTCTGTCTTAGAGGCGAAAGGGATTAAATAGCAAAAGTGCGAGATGAGAAAAATCTGTATTTGGGTTTTAGGAGAAAGAGAACCTCGTTATATGTAGCTTTTGATTCAAATTCAGTGTTAGTCATGCCCCTGGGTGTCAATTCCCTTCAGTGAGTACTAAGTGTACCTCTGCTGCTACATTGTCATTCAAGCCCAGTGAATACAAATCAAGTCACTCCCAAAGTTAATGTCACTTGGTAGTGGTGTTATCCACAGGCTCTCATGCAAGTCGAACACTCCGGAACTGGGACAGCCTCTGGGTAGAGTATGGAGAGAGGTGTTATTAAGATGCAGCAGGGTACTATACAGGATGGAAATGCATAAGGACAGAGTTCCCTTGTTTTTAAGAGGGAAGATCACAGGGGGAAATTCCTGCATCCCTGACAAAGGAAAGCTAACTCCTGAGGGAAAGCTTCTTCTCAAGAGTCCTAGTAGCCTGGGCTAAGATGCAAACACTGCATCATGCCAGGTAGTGGTGGTGGCACATGTTGTTAATTCCAGCACTCGGGAGGCAGAGGCAGACGGATCTGAGTTCCAGCCCAACCTGGTCTACAGAGCAAGTTCCAGAACGGTCAGGATTACACAGAAATACCCTGTCTAAAAAAAAAAAAACAGACATACACACAAAGCTAAACAAACAAACAAACCACACTATATCATATTTAACCTGGTGTTAGAAAAAAAAAAAGAGAGAGTTCTCTGATGGAGCTATTTTCTTTTCTTTCCCAAGTAATGAGGAGGAATTAAAATCAAGTGTTCAGTTGGGTGTGCGTGCCTGCAAGCATAGCACTTGGGAGGCCGAGGAGAAAGACCACATAGTGAAACCCAGTCTCAAAACATATATATCACTGTTTTGAAGTAGAGTAAATCTCACCACAAATATATGTTGTAAATGTTCTTATATAAATCTCATACAAATTTGTAGAGTTCATATGCTGAGTGCCTCAATATTTTCAATGTTTCACAAATACTCATTCCTTAACATGAAAAACTTATACATTTTTAATATTGATATTTCAAATTATATGAAAATTAAAGTGCAGCTAAACCAGTTCACACTACCTTGCTCAATATGCTTTCTCAACTGCATCTGCTAAGTCTCTCTGCCTACAAAGAGTCTTTTCGAATTACAGCTCTGCAGGAATTGAAATGATGTAATAGAATACTTTTTTCTTGTGTGTGTTTTAAGGAATTACAGAGAGATATGCAAGGAAGTACGCAGGCTTTGGCGGAAATAGTGAGAAACACGGAAATCTTTTTAAAAGAGAGTGGTGAGGAGCTATCCCAAGAAGAAAAAGCTTTAATCGAGCAGAAGCTGAACGAGGCTAAGACAAAGTGTGAACAGCTGAATTTAAAGGCAGAACAGTCGAGAAAGGAGCTGGACAAAGCGGTGACATCAGCCATCAAGGAAGAAGCTGAAAAGGTGCCCGTCCGTCCGAGTGTATGGTACATGGTTGCTATGCTGGAGGTGGTTAATGCAACATGGTAGCTGCTTGCTTTTATTAAGCCTGTCAGGTGGTGAGTAGCACTTAACCCTGAGAACTGAAATGCTGGAACTATGGATCTAAAGTTGCCAAACACAAACAAAGATGGGAAGAATTGGCTTTGCTTAATTTCTCCTTAAGTAGAAGCAGGTTGAGAGACTTTGGACGTGAGAAGTGTTGTCAATTGTAGTTAAAAATTCAGAATAATATGTGTGAAGGCCGTGTAGACCCAGAGTAACTGCTTGTTGCCATAAGGTTTAATTCTCATATGTTTCTAATATGTGTTAGTTTTTATAATTCACGATTACGTAAACCTTTTTTAATGTGTTAAACCTAGGCTGTGTCTGTAATATTTACGGACCTTCCCTACCCAGGTTGCAGCTGTGAGGCAGCTGGAAGAAAGCAGAACGAAAATAGAAAACCTTATGGACTGGTTGTCGAACGTGGAGAAAGACTCAGGGAGGGCAGGGATGGAGCACCTGCAGGTGATGGAGCAGAATGGAACCCATGTGCATGAAGGTGATGGCAGGTCGGTAGCTGGGGAAGAGGACGAGGTCAACGGCAACCTGCTGGAGGCAGATCTTGATGGTGGGACCACGGGGGAGAACCTGAACCAGCAGTACCAGAGAGTCAAGGTGCGCTGTGTGAACGGCGATGTCGTCACAGTCTGTGTGTATGTTGGTGACAAGTCAGGCAGATTCATACAGCTACAGAGATTGAAGACTTTCCCCACCCCAGGTTCACTGTATGTCAGATATAAATTACGGTGGAAGGTCTTAGCAAATAAAAATAGTAAGAAGTTAATCATGAGGAAACAGCTTCTGTGCACAGGTAAAGCCCTGTTTAAGAAATGAAAGAGGGCATTCGCGTTGGCTTATTCTTGCTGGGGGTCTAAGTTCTGTTCCCAGCACCCACATCAGGCAACTAAAAACTGCCTGTCACTCCAGCTGTCCTCCAAGGTCATCCATAACAGACATACAAAGACGTCACCTAAAACAGCCATTGCTTTAGACCATAGCATGACATTTTCCTTCTGAGATCAAAAATCCTTCAGAGCCAATCTGCGGTCTGAATGGGGACACAGTCAGAGGACCCAAGTTAGCAATGTCGGTCCTCTGTAACTGTGCTGGGCCCCAGGTCAGCCAAGTCCCTCTCCTCCCTCAGCCTGAGATGCTGATCTGATGCTGTAAGGTGCTCTGTATGTCCATCCTATCGGACGCAGAGCCCTGCTGAGGAGGAGCATATGAAGGTGACTCAAGTGTCAAAGACCCAACTTGTAGGAGAAAATGGTTTGAAAAAAAGTGTGTATCCGCGGTACAGAAGGTGTTGGGCACTGCTCCGGATGGTGAGAATGCTGGTGTGGACAGCCTGTGCTCCGGTGGCTGGCTGAGAGCAGGCTTGCGTGCAGGGTGTAGCTCTCGGTGACTTTACTGTCCTGACTCGTTCTGCCCCGGGTGTCAGCACTGCCCTAAGTGCTTAGGATTCCGTCCCGGCACTTGCCTGCTAAGGAGGAGAGGGTGTCATAACACGTGATAACTAAGTTATGTGGTTTGGTCGAAGGTAGTAAGTGCTAAGGGAGAGAGCTCTTAACTGAGTTGGCCAACAGTAATTTAATGTAATGTGGTTTGGTTTTTAGTATTTAAACCAGCTAGTTAAGATAAAACTGTGTTGATGAGATTTATGCAGATATTTAAAGGGGGGATGGAAGCTGCTATGTAGTTGTCTGTTGAAAGAGCTGCCTCCATGGAAAAACACAAGGAAAAAAAAATTTACCGATATATCTACCCAGGTGGGCGGGGTTAGAGGTGGGAGCAAGCGAAGACCAGGTATAGCAGAAAGAGCCCTGCTGTGTTAACCAGATCGGGCCATGTTAGCCATTAAACTGGGAAAACTGCTTTACGTGCCATATTTGGGTAGCGTATTTGATGAGACTTCTTATAGATGGAGAGGAAGGAACTTGAGATGCCCAAGGCCGAGCTGCTCTCTGGAAACTGAGATCATTGGTAGTTCTGTGTACATTCTTGACCTGTTGGCGGCACCATTTCCCGAGAGCTCTCTCTGCCTTTCTGCCTCAGAGTAGACTTGAACACCTAGCATGAACCACGTTCTGGAGGAATTCTTTGTATGTGAGCTGAGATGATCCTTAAAGCAAACCTGTAGCACACTGAGGTCACCACCTCCGTGTTCACTGTAAGAAACCGAAGTCCATTGAGCCCAGATGTCTCCAGTGGGCTCCCTTGCATCTGCTCCTTTAATTCTGTTGGACTTGTTAGAAATGCTGTTCTTGTTTCGCTGTCTCTAAATTAACCAGTAAGAGGATTATATATGTGGTGGCTTGAAAAGCTCACCGAGAAGCAGGTTGGGTTCTGGAAGCCCCGTCACCCCAAGGCCACAGTGCTCCCCAGCTCTAAGTTGCCTCTGACCTGTTCCCACACAGAACCAGCGTGACAAGATCATGGCTCAGCACCAGGCAGTCATCTTAGCCACGCAGTCTGCACAGGTGCTGCTGGAGAAGCAGGGCCACTACCTCTCACCCGAGGAGAAGGAGAAGCTGCAGGCAAACATGCAGGAGCTGAAGGCGCATTATGAGACGGTGCTGGCTGAGTCTGAGAAGAAGGTGAAGCTGACGCACTCCCTGCAGGAAGAGCTGGAGAAGTTCGATGCTGACTGTGGTGAGTTTGAGCATTGGCTCCAGCAGTCGGAACAAGAGCTGGAGAACCTGGAGGCGGGAGCGGACGACCTCAGTGGCTTAATGGACAAGCTGACGAGGCAGAAGAGTTTCTCAGAAGACGTCATTTCACACAAAGGCGACTTGAGGTACATCACCATTTCTGGAAACAGGGTGTTAGAAGCTGCCAAGTCTTGCAGCAAGAGAGATGGCAGCAGGGTTGACAAGGACAGTGGCATCGACACTTCTGCAACCCACAGGGAGGTTCAGACTAAACTGGACCAGGCTACACACCGCTTCCGGTCTCTCTACTCTAAGGTAATTCTATTTTTCTTTTGGTTTTTAGTAGAGGTCACTCTGTGATACATTTTTCAATCTGTCCTCTTGACTTTTGCTTTGTATTTAGAAGTTAAAAAAATAAGCTGGCAAGGGAAAATAGTAGTGTTGTTAGTCTTCACTTCTGGAAAATGTCTCTTAAAAATTAGCAACTTCAAGTTTTCAGAGAGGTTTACCCGAAGTTTTTGTTCTCAAATTATGCAGTACCAAAGGTGACCACCAGAGGGAGCATATGAGCTAAGCAGAAGGAGGAACTAGTCTTGCCATGTGACGTTTTCATATAGGAGAATTCCCTTCACATATATTACAGAACTGTCCTACAGTTGTATTAGATTGGTATGCTCTCGTTATTAATGACTAGTGTTTATTAGTTATGAGTGTTCTGTGTTGCTTCATTTATTACTCTGGAAAATAAAGAGTCATATTACAAATAAAAACTGTATGCCAGTTGTGGTAGTAGGAAAAGAATAGTGAATTTGGGTTATCCTGGGCTACATATTAAGATCCTGTTTGAAAATGGGGAGGGAGAGGACGTAAGAACGTATTTCCCTGATTGCAGCATAGGCTGTTCAGACCACCCACCTGCATAAGAGATTTGAAGAGCACCTTTGCGGCTTGGCTGGTGCTTCCTCGTAGTGTGAGCTATTTGACCTCATCGTGTTAGCCTTGTGCATCAAGTAGAGTTGACTTATAAGGCTCTGTAAAAGTATTTTCATCAAGTTTCTATATTTTATATGTAAAATATGTTATATATTGCATAATATTTATATATGTGTATATATGTACACACACATATATATGTATATATATAGAGAGACGGTGTATACACACACATATATAGTGTCTGAAAACCCCAGTAAGTCTTCCTTGTCCAGTGATTCCTTCTCGTTTGAGATCAGCCACCAATGCTTTTTAATCATTGTAAGTCTAGAACGATCTCTTTATTTGTAGGTTCCCTTTTTGACTTTTCCACACGAAGGGAAAAAAAAAAAACTCACTTTGGTTGATCTGTTTTTTTCCCCAAGTTCCACGGCTCATACATGTCAGATTATTTGCCATGTGATAAAATAGTGGGTTTCAGCCTCCCTTCCCGTGTCTGCTTCGGCTTTCAGTGCAGCGCTCTTGGGAATAACCTGAAAGACCTGGTGGGCAAACACCGACACTATGAGGACGCTTCGTGTGCGCTTCTTTCCGGGCTGCAGGCCTGTGAGGCCAAAGCAAGCAAACACCTACTTGAGCCCATTGCTGTGGACCCCAAAAATCTGCAGAGGCAGTTAGAGGAGACCAAGGTAAAGAAGGAAGGAGGGAGGGAAGGAGAACAGCTGCTCCGTGGTCCTGTTGACGGCCTTCCCTTCTCTGCAGCAGTGTGGTAGTTCCGCGTGGAGCATATCCTGTCCCATCAGAGGGTTCTGAATACGCTGAACGCTCCATAGCTTTTGTCCACTGTTGCTGATCTGCTCGACATTGATGTTATTGCCTGCACTCTGCCTCACCCACCTCCTACCCCCAACAAAGCCCAGCCCGCTTACTTACTGTTCAATTTCTTAATTTTTCTCCCTTTTCCATTAGAATTAAACTCCGTGAAGGTGGGTGTTTGTGTCTGAGGTTTTCAGTGCCGTATTCCCAGTATCTAGATCACTAGTTCTCAACCTGTGAGCTGTGACCCCTTTGGAAGCCGAACAGTCCTATCTCAGGGTTTCCTAAGACCATCTATATATCAGACATTTACATTCATAACAGCTGCAAAATTAAAGTTATGAAGTAGTAATGAAAATAATATTACAATTGGGTCTCACCTTAACATCAGGAACTGAATTAAAGGGTGACAGTGTTCGGGAGGTCGAGAAACACTGATCTCGAGGATCACCCAGCCCACAGTGCACAATCAGTGTTCGTTCAAGAGTGACCTGTAGAAGAACGTCGCTGTAATATTCAGAGTGCCTCAGAGTTAGTGTTGGGAAACTATTATATTCCCTCGTGGAGGATAGAAATACAAACTTTGTCAGACCCGTGAGGCTGGACAACCTACATGGGTGTTAGGAATTACAGGATCCAACCCTGTTTATACCACGTTCCCAGTGTGGAACTGCACCTGTTCACCCAGAGATCGTGGGAACCTATCCCCAAGGCTTGTTAGTCTTCGTTTACACTATCAGTGTGAGTCACCTGTCACAGTTAACTCTCGTCTGGTTTCTCCCTCTCTTTCAGCTTTAGGTACAAAATGCTTCTGGGCTGTTTTCACCTCCTTGGCTGACCGCACTGTGTCTGTCTCCCTTCCCCATCACAGTGTAAACTTCTCTGGTGTTGCTGCAGTCTGCTGTAGCAGTTTCCTTGACTGTGGCAGTTCCTTCTACATAGTTCCGCTTGAGTCGCCTCGTCCATTGCCAGCCTGCTCCTTTCCCCCAGTACGGTTTTAGGAGCCATTCTAGGCGTTCCCCTTGCCCTTTGTTCCCGCCCTCTGATGGCTGGCCGTTCTGTCATGGCCTCCGTTCAGCAGCATAGCCTTAGTCACTGAGGAAGCGTGGCTAATAAGCTGAGGAATTAAATGTTTTACTTTATTTGGTTTTGGTGTAGAACTCAGATGTTTAGTAAGTCATACTGTATAAGTATCATGGCTTTAGACAATTTGAACAAGTCCATTTGGCTTTTCCCATCCCTGAGCCATTCTGTATTTTGTGGTCCAGACCATCAGAGAAGAGGGCATGGCCTCAGACCTTGGTAAAGTCCTGACTGCCCTGTTCTGGCTTAAGTTACTCCCAGCTGGGCTCTCCATTTCTCTCTTCATTTTTTTCTCACTGAGTCCCCCCCCCCTTGGATTCCTTTATGGCCTTACTTAGCACTTTCTTCAAAGCCTTCAGTAATTCCCCATTCTCCCAGACAGACTATCAAACCCTTAGCCTAACATTTGAGACCTTTGCAGCCCTATTTATTCATTCATTATCATATTCTCGTTCTCTCACTCGTTCACTTGCTGGGCTATTTCTGTGCTTTCTGTTTGTTCTATGGAGAAGCCCTCTGTCTTTTCACTTCTGCAGTTTAAACAGTACCAGCATCATCACCACTACCAGTGGTCCTCAGGGCCTGCGGCTCCTCCTCTAGCGCACCTTCCACCAGCACCTCCTCTGACCTTTGAAATGTAGCCCTTCTTGTAAGCTTGGTAGCTATTTTTTTTCTACAGAATGTAGCAAAGTTTTTTCAATTTCTAGATGCTCAGTAACTTATTGAATTAAATAAATACAATGACACAATATGAAGTCAAGGACCTAGAGTCAGAAATAGTTCCTGGGATTCGTTGGTTTTTGGTTTTGTTGCTGATGTTGGGGTTGAGGATTTGGAGGTAGGACTGTTATACAAAGCATCAAATTATAGGAAATTATAGGAAAACAGTAATGGGGTTACAAGTCACAAGCAGAAAGATGGTTAAGAGCCCTTACTCATGTGTGTCAGCACTTGCTGTCTGGATTGGTTGTTGCTTCTCTCTAATCACTTTATTCTCAAGTCCAGAATAAGTTTAATGATGCAAGTTGTATGTTACACAGTTTATTCTATCCGACTTAATTTATCTTTTTTCCCTTATTGGGAATCTGTAGTCCTTCTGAATATAATTGAAAACCACTTAATCCTACAGGCTTTGCAAGGGCAGATATCAAGTCAGCAGGTTGCTGTGGAGAAGCTGAAGAAGACAGCAGAAGTTCTCTTGGGTGCCAAGGGCTCCTTGCTTCCTGCCAAGAATGACATCCAGAAGACCCTGGGTAAGGTTTCTAGTTTCTTGTTTCTAGTTTCAGCTGGGTACATTCAAAATGGAGGTGTTTTATAGAGAGGGAGAAAATGCTCACAAATACATGCTGTATGATTGGTCTCTGCATGTGTGTATGAAATAAAAATATCTTCCAGCTGACTCTTATTGTTTCCCACAAATAGAGCTGAGTTAAAAGCTGAGTAGGAATTTTCAGTGAGGAGAAAGCCAGTCTATCCGAGAAGAGCGCTTCTCTGTCCTTAAAGACGCAAACATTCTGATCATGCACTTTGATCAGCAAGTAATTAAAAGGCACATGTATTTAAAAATTCATGTACATTTTATTATCATATCTAATTGTAAAGCATAAAACTTCAACATTTTAAGGCGTATGAAGAAGTGTGAGTGTAGGTTCTAAGGCAGCGGTTCTCAACCTTCCTGAGGCTGCAACCCTTTAACATGGTTTCTCATGTGGTGGTGACCCAGCCATAAAATTACTTTCATTGCTTCATCGCAACTGCACATTCACTGCTGTTATGAATAATAATGTAAATATCTGTGTTTCCCGATGGTCTTAGGTGACCCCTGTGAAAGTGTCGTTTGACCACCCCCCAAGGGGTCGCAACCCCAAAGGCTGAGAACCGCCTGTTCTAAGATAAGCCATCACATCAACCCATAGCAGAGATCATCACCATAGGAACTTAAGCGTGGAGCTGTGAAGCAGAGAATGTTTTCATTATGTTTCTGTCATTTGAAGAGGCATTTTTAATGTTTTCTATATTTTTAAGTGTTTTTTATTTTACATTTATTTATAATATTGATATATTTTACATCAATATTTAGAGCTTCTGTTTGACATCAATTTCTAGGAATGTCTGAAACTATTTATGATACAGAAAAATTTCCATAAGATCTTTTTTATTTCTAAGAAAAACAATAGCTTTTAAAAATACTTGTTATGGGTGATTTGTTGATTAAAAAAAAACAAAACACAAAACAAAATCTTGCTGTGTATCCAGGACTAGACTAAAAAGCAAGAGCTTGTCGTGAAGTATTTGCTAAACACATAAAAACTCTGTTAGGAACTAGGGCCAAAGACAGACACCACAACAAATATTTTGCTAGTGCTTTTTATTGCTTGGGAAATTATGCAAGGAACTGATCAAACTATACACATGCACACGTATGCACATGGGATTCCAAAGTCCTCATCTCCAGATACCTCCATTTTAGGCCTTAGACCTAAATACATGTGTGTATGGTGGGTGGGGGCATGTCAAGGTTCATCACAAACAGCACTCACGGTGTATTAAGTTTTTGAAAGCAGCTCATTGATTTGCTCTGGGAAGTCATACATCATAGCTGAGCCAATACCCCCTCATCACGCTGATGCACAAGCACTGCCCCGCCCCCAGGAACAGCCCAGCTGCCAATCAGAAGCTACAGTTTAAGGCCACTGCTCCTGGGACTTGCAGCCAGGGGCCATTTTTGACTTGGGAACTGGATGCTTGTAGCGTCTTGGTTCACGTTAAAGGCAGCCCTTCACCCCAGTCAGCATTCTCCTCAGCGTCACTGTGTTTTAGCATCAGGCATGTCAACTCTCTGGTTCAGGGAGAATGTGCTCAGCTGTTTTCTCATACTGTAGCTTACAGCAACTTAAAAGAAAGTGTTTTGCTGTTGAATCATGCATGCATCATAGGCCAAACAAGCACGGAAGGGAACTCCCCTACAGAGCTGTTTGGGTCACAGTTTCTAGTGTTCTGTTATACACTGTGTTCTACTAAAACATTCAGAAATAACTAAAATGCTTTTTTAAGTCTTTGTATAATAAATGAGATTTTAAAATCATGATTTTAAAAAAAAAGTTGTTTTCCAGAGAGAGACAGAAATTTAGTAGCTCTGTTCTTCAAACCTGTAGCTGGCCCACAGTATAGAACGGCAAATGTCAAAATGCAGAATTTTGTATTCAAGAGAAAACTAGGCAGTAAGGTAGCATTTTCTCCCTCTCTTCCTTCCTTCCTCCCTCCCTCCCTCCCTCCCTCCCTTCTTTCCTTCCTTCCTTCCCTTTCACCTTAAATCTTTAGACTTGAATGTAAAGTTTATATCATGAGAGATAAGTTGTTCTGTTAAACTCATTTTTGTCTGCTATTAAACTTGTAGATGAATTCTGTTGTCTGTGTTTTAGAAACACAACCATAGCTCTTACATTGTTAGCCTTTTTTCTCAATGCATTTGCCTCTTCTGTGGATTTGAAGCCTCTCTGATGATGACCAAAGCTGAATATGAACATGTGTGTGTGTACACAGTTATGTGACAGAATGTTCTCTCTGGAGAGTGGTTCTGGAACTGTCACTGAAGCAAGAGTGACGGCTGTGAGCCACGGTTTAGCCCATGCTTTCTCCGCAACACGTCATATGGTTATGCCTCCAAAACCTTGCCGGATGCAAATGGTGGACATGTGAAATTACTCTTTAATATTTCATTTTTCACTCTATTTGTGTCTTTATAAAAAAATTATACGTTATCTGATTATTCATTGAAAATGTATCATTTAAACTTCTTTTATATGAAAACCTACCTAATCGTTAACCTCAGAATACATTTGAGAAGGAACAAGTTAAGCAGAACTTGGTGCTCACTAGTCCCTTCTCTGTGTGGCGCAGATGACATTGTCGGGAGGTATGATGATCTGTCCAAGTCTGTGAATGAACGGAATGAAAAGCTTCAGATAACACTGACCCGCTCACTGAGTGTGCAGGACGGCTTGGATGAGATGCTGGACTGGATGGGAAGTGTGGAGAGCTCACTGGTCAAGCAAGGTCAAGTGCCCCTAAACTCTGCGGCTCTTCAGGACCTCATCAGTAAAAACATTGTGAGTGACCTTTTCTGGGGGGAGGAATTCTACTTGCAGTTAAAAACAAATTATTTGTCTCCAGGAATAGATAGGCTTAAAGACAGAGATAAGAGAAGCCTCTGAATACAACCAAGTAGCAAGCAGTGCTTGTTCAAATGAATGTGTAAATGATTTTTGTTATGTCACTTAGGAAGAGATTTATGTACTTTTCATTATTCATTAAAGAAGGTCTAAACCTACACTGTCTTATCTCATTTATCATTACTTCAGACAGCTGCTCATGGGGTTCATCAGATCAATCTTGCTGTTGCTAAGCCTTTTAAAAATTAAGAGCATGGCTAATCCCCAGACTGCATTCGATCTCAGGGTTTCTGGGTAGCAGCAGCCCCCTGCGTTCTTCAAACAGCCAGCCAGCTGTTCCCCGCACTCCCTTAAAGAGCTTTGGGATTGGCTTCCTCAAGGGGAAAATCAAACATGTCACTCATTCCCAACTGTTAGCCTTTTCAGTCACAGGTTGTTCGAGCTTCTGGTGCTGTGGAGAATCACGTTCAGAGCTCCGCGGCATTATTTGTCAACATCACTAGAAAATATGTACAATAATTACTGTATTTCAGATGTTGGAGCAGGACATTGCAGGTCGTCAGAGCAGCGTAAATGCCATGAATGAGAAAGTAAAGACCTTTATGGAGACCACAGACCCGTCCACTGCATCCTCGCTGCAGGCGAAAATGAAGGACCTGTCTACCCGGTTCTCCGCAGCCAGTCAGAAACATAAAGAAAAGCTTGCCAAGATGGTGGAACTAAAGGCCAAAGTAGAGCAGTTTGAAAAGCTCTCAGAAAAGCTCCAGGTGTTTCTAGAGACACAGAGCCAGGCACTCACGGAGGTGGACATGCCAGGAAAAGATGTTCCGGAGCTGTCTCAGTATATGCAGGTGTGTAGTCCGCGGTAGCCACAGTGGCAAGCAAGCTCACACGTTTGTTGACAGTCTACCTACCAGTTGTCATTCTAACTGCTTCACACTTGCTTCTCTTAGAAGCATTTGTCTGCTGCATAGAACTAACCATTTACCACACATACCATAGCTGTTGCAAATATCACTGTGCATGCCAAAATCACAGAGAAACAAAACAGCAGTGCATGGTCACGTGCCCACTGTATCCTAGCTGCACATCACAGTCTGTGAAGTACTGAGCACTAGGTGTGCTCCATGAAACCCCAGCCAGAGGCACTGTGCTCCTGTACACACCTCTGGAAAAATGTGATCCTAAGGTCCAGCAGCATTTATATTGACGGATGTCAATACTTTGCAGGAATCCACTACAAAATTCTTAGAACACAAGAAAGATCTCGAAGCTTTGCACAGCCTCCTGAAAGAGATATCCAGCCATGGCTTGCCAGGGGACAAAGCTCTGGTGTTTGAGAAAACAAATAATTTGTCAAAGAAATTCAAAGAACTGGAGGATACCATCCAAGAAAAGTAAGCACCTCATTCAAAATATGTTTTATTTCATCTGGTGGTGCTCAATAGCTACATTGCTTTTATTTATGGGAGTATATGACTGAGGTGATTTCCAAAATGTGGGGCCTGGGTTCTTGCTGTATTCGTGCATTGAATATACTTAGGAGGGTTGGGTGGTGGTGGCTCATGCCTTTAATCCCAGCACTCGGGTGGCAGAGGCAGGAGTACAGGAGTATCTCTGTGAGTTCGAGGCCAACCTGGTCTACAAGAGCTAGTTCCAGGACAGGCTCCAAAGCCACAGAGAAACCCTGTCTCGAAAACCAAAATAAATAAATAAATAACTCGGGAGGCTGGAGCAGGATTACAGATTACAGAGTTTGAAGTCCTAATGTGGACTGTAGGGAGACCCTGTCTTAAGAAGCAAAACACAACAACGAAAACATCAAGTTACTATTCACTGAAATATTGAGGTGGGAAACTGAACATGGCTTGTGTAAAAGTGGGGGGCACTGCATAAGCATGATAGTGCTGGTGGGGTGTGACCGGAACGATCCAGTTCACCAGGGTCTATGGTTTCTTTGCCAAGTATTACCTTTCTGTTTGCAGAGACAGAAATAACCTTGAAAAGCAGTACTTCTTGCTTTGGGGACTCAGTTCAGAAGCTACACATAATTTCAGTGTGTTCTTAATAGCCCTTTTAATATAACAGCTTACTCCCTTAATGAGTGCTGGGTTAAGTCATCCACTGACTAACATGACCTGTGTTCTCCTCAGGTCAGCAGAAGATACCTGGTTTTTTTTTTTTTTTATGGATCTTTGCTGGCTGGAATTAAGCATTTTTTAAGATGGATCAATCAAAGCTGCTAGAGTTTATGTAGCATTGTAGGGTATTGTTACGGACGGGTTACAGATTTTTTGACTGTTTCCTCTCTGTCTAAAGCTTTGCTTAAGGAATCACAAGTGGTTACTCAGCTGATTTCATTGACCACATAAGCAAACGTCAGCCTGAGTTGTTCTGTGCATTTCAAAGGTGCTTGTTAAAGTTGAGCCCGATTTAGGGATAATGACCATGGGAGCATCTGGTTCTGCAGCCTAACTTCTGGTTTGCCTTTGTTCATTAGAAAAGACGCTATCGGCTCTTGCCAGGAGCAACTGAGTGCTTTCCAAGTCCTTGCTCAGTCACTGAAGTCCTGGATAAAAGAAACAGCAAAGCAGGTTCCCGTCGTGAAGCCTTCTTTGGGAGCAGAGGACTTAGGAAAATCTCTGGAAGAAACTAAGGTGGCTCAATGGACCTGATACTAACCTCTGCTTGCCTGTGTTAGCAATGAAGCGTGGGGTCCTTCAGTCTAAAGTCGTGCATGCTGGTCTCATAAATGCCCTATAGGATCTGTGGGAGTCAGTAATGGGATTAGCTGAACTTTTCGAGGAAGGAAAATTTGGTTAATTTGGTTTATGAAGAAGATGTGTCCATGAGTCATTAGTCTTCCCTAATATTGAAGTTTCCTTCTTCATCAAATTTCATCTTAGTTTCCATTCTTTTATTATGCCTTCCCTCCATGTAGTAAAAGAGAGACCCCTGTCTGTATGTGCTTGGTAACCAGTGTTGGAAGACAGGTTAGTTATTTGATTGAAATTCTTGCATAAGTAGTATATACGTACTTGGTTGTCTGACTTAAGTCATAAAAGTTATGAATGCTTGTGTCAGGTTTTCTTGGAGTGAAATCATGTATCTTTACAACTTCACTGAAACTGATAGTTAAACGCAGCATGAGTTGGAATTCTGTATGCCCCTGTTCATTTTTATTGTCCTGTTACATACCTAATGGTGCGGCTGCACCTGGTAAAGCCCTGCAGACTTACAGTTGACAGTTATTCTGGAACCTTCCCGTAGCACCAGGGCACGGCCTGGCTTCCACTGTGCCTGGGGGCAGAACACAGAATGGGCCTTGCCCCATTCCCCTCTGTCAACAGTGTTAACAGTCACCCGGGCCCACAGTCATAGTTGCTTTGAAATCTGCCTGAGAAGTTCACTGACAATGTACAGCTTTGAAGATACATGGAAGACTGAAAGATAATGTGTTTTTGTGTTTAAAGAAATTACAAGAAAAGTGGCGTTTGAAAGCCCCAGAAATTCATACAGCAAACAACAGTGGGGTCTCACTATGTAACCTGATAAGTGCGCTGACCACCCCTGCCAAGGCCATAGCAGCAGTCAAATCAGGTATGCGCTTTGTTTCCGTGACCAGTCTGTAAGAATTGGAGCTCTCGTGTTAACTTTGTGTATTTTTAATTCATTAAATAAAAGGTCACCTCAGAAAGTGAAAGACGTAAGACAAATGACTTTTAAAAGCACATTGAATCTGTCGTGGAGAGATGGGGATGGCTCAGTGCATAATCTATGTGTGTGGAAGCATGAGGCTGGGAGTTCGAATCAGTCATATGTTTACACCAGAGTGGGCATGGTGGCCTGCCTGTAACCACAGCCTTCAGGAGGCTCAGACAGGTAATCCTCAGAGCAGACTGACTAGCTAGATTCACTGAATCCTTGTCTTCTGGAGTTGGCGAGTGACCCCGCCTCAGAAAATAAAATGGAAAGTGATTGTGGAAGATAATTAACCTCTGTGGTGGGCCTCCACGTGTAGGAGCACACACAGCATACACGTCTGCACATGTGCACCCACAGATATAGGAACATGCGCGTGCCCACACACACACACACACACACACACACACACACACGTCTGTCATGGAAAAATATCTGTACTAATTTTAAATTAGTTTTAAAATCCCTCCCATGTTTGATATTTATTAAATATTACATGTAAAATATAACCACATTGGCATGTAATGATAAGAAGGTGATACTGAGGAGGGGAACCGGTCAGGTTCCAGTCTACTTGCTTTTTACTGTACTTACACGGGGGTACTGAAGTGCTCTTGGTGCTATTTCTGGTCTCGTTCTACTCGGTAGTAAAGAAATGGATTTGGTTTTCTAGAAAAGAAGTAAACAAGAGGGTAGGCTCTTCTCTGAAGAGGTGACTTACCTCTCTCTCTCCTCTCTCACTCTTTCTGTCTGCTTGTCTGTGCATTGTTCCTAGAGCACCTGACTCTGCAGCCTGTGGGCCAGCTCACACATGTCTCAGCCCGAGTCCCGGCTGATCCCCCTTTTCAGAGTCAAATGCATACAAATGTCAACTCCCAAACTAGTTTAATATGAATATAGTGCTTAGATAAGGCATACTTATTGAGGTATGTTTTTGTTTGTTAGTTTTTGTTTTCTTTCCAGTTGAGTAGACAGAAGGCTGATCCCATATCTCTATTGTGTGTCTCTGAGTGCCCTCTGGTTTATCTCGTCTGACCAGGCCTCCAGCTGTCCCTATTGTGAGTGACACCCATGTTCCAGCTGCACTGTTCTCAACCAGTCGTTTATTCCACTCTGATAATCCCTTTGAAAGGGACGCCCATATTATATATGCTGCAGTGAGCTCTCCTTTCGCCCCAATCAGATTTCCTGAGATGCCAAGTTGATTCTTTTTTAAGAAAAGGAATCCTGTTGTTTTTAATTTATCTTGGTTGCTCCTGCCTCCTTATTTGTAATAAAATCTATTCTCTGCTATGTTTTCTTTGTTTGGCCTTTAAGAATTAGACTCTGGGATGCTTTCCCTTCCATGTAAAATGCCTTGCGTGTGATTTTTTTTTTTTTTAGTGTGTGTGTGTGTAACAATGCAAGATTCAGATATTTAAATGTTTCTGTTGGTTGTGCTTGTTTGGGCATATCTCTGCTTTGATAGACAGCCAGCGGATGCTAGCATGAGAAAGTTGGATTTTATTAACAGTGTGGTTATGGAAACATGCCAGTACCAGATGGTTATGATAATAAAAGACAGATAGCTATTACGACTCACTAAGGAGTTTCTGTGTGATAGGGAACGAGTTAACTGTCTGTGGTCCCCATGGTGCTCTTACAGGTTAGGCACCGTGGTTCACATCAGCTTGGCCTATTAGTTCTTCTGGGCACACAGCTAATAATTAGTAGAGTTGGCAATTAAATTCAGGAGTCCTACCCCAGGCCCAGGCACTGCCACCCCTGTATTCTCTCTTCTTCAGCATATGTGGACTTAGCAAAGGCTTTTGTTTCATCTTTATTTTCATTAAGTAAAACAGACTTTCTCTTCTCGGTTACTTTGCTTTATTTAATATGTGCATGCTGGGGACCTTCAAAACTTCAGTAGTTTTATCATTAAGATGACTTTAGCACAAAAAAAACGTAGCTACAATATTTAAGAATTAACTTTTGATTGATTTATTAACAGTAGGAAGTAAGACGCAGCCTCGCTGCTCTAAGAATAAACGATGGTGTTCTTAAGTGGCCACTTGATGGCGGTTTGCTTTATGCCATCTATAGCTGGTGAGTAGAAGTACTATGATAATCTAAAGTTGTTTTTGTTTTTGCAGGTGGAGTAATACTAAATGGTGAAGGAACAGACACAAATACTCAGGATTTCTTGGCAAATAAAGGTGAATAAGGAACCTTATCTGGTTCATAGTGGAGCTAGCTGTTTCTGAGAAAATCCTTTGAGAGAGCCGTAGTTATGTTGAAATCTTAAACTTGAATTAGAATGGTCACAGTCTCCATGGTTATATTGATAGAATATTCTGTAAACTCTGTCCAGCTGTGATGAATCGAGCTTTAATGTTTTGCTTTAGTACTTGGTTTTATTTTCTTCTTGTTGATTTAAGATTCACTTCTACAGGACAGGCACCAAAGCTACAGAGAAGCCTGTCTTGAAAAAACAAAACAAAACAAAAAAGATACATTTCTACTTGGGTAGCATTTGATCTGATTTATTGTTTAGTACCCAAGAAGTAGAATTTAAGCTTAAAACCCTGTCATACTACCTCTGACATTTTACTATTATGCAGTGTTCCTGAGTCATTTTTTCTTTTTTTTAACATTTATTTATTTATTATGTATACAATATTCTGTCTGCTTGTATGCCTAGAGGCCAGAGAGGGCACCAGACCTCATTACAGATGGTTGTGAGCCACCATGTGGTTGCTGGGGATTGAACTCAGGACCTTTGGAAGAGCAGGCAATGTTCTTAACTGCTGAGCCATCTCTCCAGCCCCGAGTCATTTTTTTATTAACCAGCAGTATGACCTGATCTTTCGATCCTAAAATGTCCATGGTTTATTGTAGCTTAATAGTGACAATGTATAAGTAGGTACTGTATAATATAAAGTTAATTCTATGACTTTTCTCCAAAACCCTTAGCATGCATTGGTATATTTTTCTTCCCACTCATAGGGTTAACATCTATTAAAAAGGACATGACTGACATAAGCCACAGCTACGAAGACCTTGGCCTGTTACTCAAGGATAAGATAACTGAACTGAATACTAAGCTCTCCAAGTTGCAAAAGGCTCAGGAAGAATCGAGTGCGATGATGCAGTGGTTGGAGAAAATGAACAAAACTGCCAGCAAATGGCAGCAGACGCCCACGCCCACAGACACCGAATCCGTGAAGACGCAAGTCGAGCAGAATAAGGTAGACTGGGCGTAGGGCGAAAGGGCCAGTGAAAGAGATCTCTGGCCCTGAAATCAGAGCCAAAGAAACACCCTGTCCTTCAGCAAATCAGGAATTGAAACCAGCCAATCCCAGGGCACGAAAATCAACCAATCTCTGAGTTTGACCCAAGCTCAGGAATTGAAATCCTACCAGTCTTCACCCTGAAAACCTCCACCTTGTAAAATTCCAGCCCTAAGAAGTCCTGTGGAATTCTAAAAGAATCCTAAGAAAGCCAAAATACCTACAACTCCTAAGGGAAGTTTACCTACAGTAGCTCCGAAGGGAAACGTATCCCAACCAAAGTGTTACAGCTCTGTTAGGTGGGGGACCATTTCCAATGCAAGTGTAACAGCTCTCCTCCAGCGGGGGAGGGCGTCCCCAGCCAGGTGGTCACAGCTCTGCTCCAGCGGGGGAGGGCGCCCCCAGCCAGGTGGTCACAGCTCTGCTCTGGTGTGCTCCAGAGAAACGGTACAGTCTGTTCGGCTTCCCTGGAGTGTGACACTTGCGTGTATTTCTTGGCTTCCGACTACCAAAATACCTTTCCCTTCGAAGCTATAACACTTACACTGGTACACAGAAGGAAGACGTCAGAGAGAATGGGCAGAAATTCAGAAGCAGCCAAGGTGGTCCTGTGCTCTGTTCTGTTTGCTACTTAGATCCGTCAACAACTTACTTGAGAGTTTTAAAGTCTGCCTTTCTGCAGACTGGGGCAGTTGGTAGTCATTTTTTCTCCGCCCTCTGACATTGTAAAAAAACCAAACTGTTGAGTATACGTAACTTGCCCGTTGTTACATCCACTTAAATCTGGAACATTAACTAGTTAACTCTTAGGAAAGATTTAGTTAAGGGGTAACTATATTAAGGGCCTGTGTTGTCTGCTATAAAATGAGGTAGCTAATACCATCCTCTTCTTCAATGGACCGTACTTCTGTAGCTGTCACAATTGGGAATGTAGTTTTCCACGGAAGCACTGGGCTGGCACATTAGAAACCTGCATTCGACTTCTGCCGTGTGTGTGTGTGTGTGTGTGTGTGTGTGTGTGTGTTCCCAAGCTGAGCCCAACGTTCCGGAGGCCTTCCCCAAGGCCTGCCAGTCACAGTCTCACCGAGAGCAGCTGCATGTCCCCGTAGTCGTTTGAAAGCAGAAAATTCTCTTCAGTGTCAGTCTGTCATTCCTCCAAATCAGAGGGTTCCTCTGTGGGATCTCTGTGTCTCACAGTTAAAGATGGGCAAAGGAATAGTGAGAATTAGCGGTCCCGTAACCCAGGTCCTCACCCACTCCAGCATTTAATGTAGGGGTTTTTCCTCTCTAGGTCATACCAGAGGGTAGGAAATGCAGCATAATTGTACTTTCTGTCTTTTGATGTCAAACCTCTGTGTAGTTAATTGCTTTTTTTTTTCCTTGTTAGTCCTTTGAGGCGGAACTAAAGCAAAACGTAAACAAAGTGCAAGAACTGAAAGACAAACTGACTGAGCTACTGAAGGAGAACCCAGAGGCTCCCGAGGCCCCCGCCTGGAGACAGATGCTGACGGAGATGGGTAAGTGTAGCCTTGCGCCACCGCGCACGGGCATCAGAATGCTTTTCAGAAAACATCCAGTAGTCTCGGTTGCTTTTGGATTATCTTTAAATGGTTCAGAATCTGTTTTTTGAATAATTAGAATCATGACGTTCAAGTCCATTGTTCTGAGAACTGGCATCCCGCTGTTTTTGTGGAAAAGGCTGCTTGGTTGATGATGAAATGCTTTGCACTGAGGAATGTCTTCATTGGTGTTGATTTGCTGTTTATTAGCTTTGTGCTCATAGGTGCTGTCCCTTAGCATGTTTTCTTCCATGTTCCCCTCTCCTCTGCGAGGTGGCTTCTGGGTTCTGGGACTCCTCCAGCCCCGTCTCTTTAGCTCTCCTTTCTCTCAAGCCAGTGTCTCCCCTTCCCACCTTTATACAAACTGCTCGTAGGAGTAGAATTTCCTTCAAAGGCCTTTCCAGTTTGTGCGAGCAGTGGAGACTAAGAAAGCAGATTTTCCCACTTCACTCTCTTGTTTAGCAATTTCCGTAAGTGAAGGTCTGTCTGTCTGTCTAGTAGCCCTAGTGTGTGCTGTGTGAAGTGTACGACGTGGATCCTTCTTGGGATGACTTGACTTTCAGTCATTCCGTTAGGTTTATTTCAGACCTTCCTTTCAGTGTTAGGCATCATGGGCTAAGAAACAAAGTGTTGTAAATTAATGTTCGGTGTTAGAGAGGATCCGACTCTCGAGACTCCCGCTGCATCGTGGTCCCCCAAGTCAGTGGCTCTCCTTGGGATGTCAACATTACTTGAGCAGAGTGTTGTCAAACATTAGAAGAGAGGAGGGAGTGAGGAGTGTACATTTCCTAAAATGCCTCCTGATGGTTTGGATATTTCTGCATCCTGTCTGCTTTTGTTCACAGTCTCTCTAGTCAGATTATATTGGATTAGAACTTGCCCTACAGAAGGATGCCATTAAATAAAAATCACCTACTGTGTTCTATTAAAGTTTTTCTTTAGTATATTGTGCCAAGTGACCAATAATAAAAAAATCTCTTGGGACCAGTGGAAATGGCTCAGTCAATAAAGTGCTTACACACACGAGCACAGGGATGGTTCAGTCCCCAGAACCCACGTGAAAGCACTAGACACAATAGTACAGGATTGTAATCCCTGTGCCGAGGAGGCAGAAACACACAGCGCTGTGGGGCTACCTGGGCAGCCTTGTCTGCTAGGCAAGTACCAGGCCAATGAGAGACCCTTTCTCGTAGAAAAACACGCAAAACAAAGGCGCATGGCTCCAGGGTCAGCAGCGACAGTTCTCCTTCAGCTTCCACACACGTATGTGCGTGTGTACCCACACAAACACATTTTAAAAAGCAATAAAGTGGGTTTAAGGCAAGCCTCGGTGCTCTGACAACAAATCTGCACCTCAAGATGTTGTGCTCTGTGGAAACCAGGAGAGCAAGAAGGCTTCCCGGCTGAGGGTATGGTCCTGTAGGACAGAGATGACGGACAGAAATAGGAGATGATGCCAGGAGGTGGCCCGGTGTGGCTTACGTGAGCATGTGCGCTTTGGGGAGAACATTAAGATTGTGAGGGCCAGATTAGAGGAGTCCTCTCAATATAGGCGCAAGATGAGTGTTCCAAGGGTCAGGCTGTGATGGACCCTGAGTTCAGGCAGATGTCTTCTGATTTTATCATCTAAATGATGAGAAGTTATTAATCAAAGGACTTGAGGAGGGAAGTGATATGTTTGAAAATGGTTGTTTTCGAGGGAAATTATTTTAGAATTGAATGGCTTACCGCTGAGAAATAGCCAGATATGAGTTACAAGACTACTAAGCTGTGTCTGTAATTTCAGAGTGTGCTCTTTGTATCTACATCCACATTTGAACTCGTGGAACCCCCACTCCAGACCTCCTGCATCAGGCCCTCCCTGTGTATTAACGGTCCCAGCATGTGGTTCTGTAGCAGCCGAGTTCGGGAAGCACAGTGGTCTAGGAAAAGGATGTACGTCTAGGATGTAGACCATGGTAGAGCATGGCCCTGAGCATATCCACGAGGTGCTTGGGGCTGTGATGGCATAGCAGAGCCATCAGAAGGCCATTGAAAGTCATTGTGGAGCGTTAGTGGTTAAGAGTACATACTGCTCTTGCGGAGGACCTGAGTTCAGGTCTTAGCACCCACATCAGGCAGCGCCAACCACCTTAACTCCAGCTCCAGGGGATCCACACTCTGGCCTCTGAAGGCTCCTACATCTACAAAATCACCCCCACTGCCCGCACACACAGACAGACAGCGAAACAGACAAGTAATTAAAATAAGATGTCTTTAAAAACCATTACGAACTGTTGCATCTCTGTGAAAAGGAAGAGAGGGTGGCCTTTGAAAGAAATATGAAAAGGGGCAAAGACCAGTTTTTAGAGGGACATCACTAACGGTTCCTGTGATGGCTGTGAGTGCAGTGCAGCACAAAATCATGCCGAGGGTTTGTCTGTGGCTTTTCCTTCGCCACTGCATTGTCCAGCTCTCCAGTGTGAACTTCTTAGAAGTCAGTGTCATGCCGTGGTCGTGAGGTAGACTGCCCTTTCACGGGACTCTGAGATCTGGTGCTGTACCTTTGCAGCACTTGGTTGGTACTGAGTGAGTCTAATAGAGAGTCTGAGGGCAGGTATTCAAATCTGGAAGGCATTTACCTAGGAATATTTGAGAAACTTAAAGAAAAAGATTCAGGGTTGTGGTGTGACTCAGCAATAGAGAACTTGTGTATTCACACAGCCCTAGGTTCAGTACCCAGTAACACCCACCCCCACCCTCCCTCCTTCCCTCCCCTCTTCCTCTCCCCCACCTCTCCCTCCCTCTCTCTCTCTCTCTCTCTCTCTCTCTCTCTCTCTCTCTCTCTCTCAACTGTATAGGACTTTTAGAAGGAATAAGAGATCACAGGAACCTGATTGTTTTGGACAATGTTAATATTTTTGCCTTCTAAAATAGGTTCAGACTTGTTTTATTTATACTGGAGTTAATACACAATTACTAAATCCATAATGTTATAACAAAGAATGAAACAGCAGGCGTGGTTGGTGTGTGGGGAGGAAGCTGAGACCTGTTATCATTTAGAATGAGCAGCGCTAGGAAAGAGAGCCTCAGGGCCATGGAGGCCATGATCAGGCCTTGAGGAGGGAGGGAGATTAGGGGAACTGTACGTCATAACAGATGGGAATAACCCCCACAACATGACAAGACCACGAGATGAGGACCATTATAGGAATTCCTAGAACTGCCGTGGATGGCATGACGGAGAAGCAAGCCTTCGGAGAAAAAGCCCCTTAGAAAGGAGGTATTTTGACACCTCTGGTTTTGGGCTCCATGGCTTGCTCCCCTACATCTCCTCCAGCCCAGCCCTATTGAGGTCTGTGTGCTCTGAGCAGGGGCTGTCAGTCCTTAGTCTCAAGGCACAAACTACAGGTGTTTATGGCTGATTTCTCCAGACTTCATCTCCTAGTGGCCAGTTTCTTAGAACGGCAGGCTCATGACCTAATAGGTAGTACCTGTGGTGTTTCACATAATTACTTCCTTTAAGTTCCAGCTAACAGGAAAGAGAGTTATAAGGCGTGAACAAGGATAGATGGTCGCTTACTGGTGATGTACTTGCCAATCTTAAGGCCCTGCGTCTAAATCCTAACAGGGAAGGGGGTGGAAAAGGAATGACATCTATTATATATCATTTTGAATCATATGATTACAGTTTTCTAGGGGTGATATTAAACGTACAAAAACCCAATACCAGTCTCATCCTTTTTCTTTCAGATACTAAGTGGCAAGAGCTCAACCAGATAACAGTTGATAGGCAACAGAAGCTGGAAGAATCCTCCAATAATCTAACCCAGTTCCAGACCACAGAGGCCCAGCTAAAGCAGTGGCTTTTGGAGAAAGAACTGATGGTCAGTGTTCTTGGACCCTTATCCATCGACCCGAATATGTTGAACACACAGAGGCAGCAGGTGCAGGTGAGTGCTATCTGAGGACCAGCTGGATGCAGCCCCTTGACTTAGCAAGACAAATGTGCTCAGTGTAAATACATTAGTGTGGCCAGTGTGTATCTTCCTGCTGCGGGACATGCTATCTAAAGCAAGACCTTTAGAGAGCTACAGCTGGGAGATGGCCACGGTATTTTCCCTGAGTCAGCACGGTGGGGGGGGCAGATCTTCCGCCCACTGTTTGGTCATGCTGTAGTTGTGGCAGGCCCGCTGACCCTCGGGAGTCCCTGAAGGGTGAACGTGATTGCCTAAGTCATGCAGTAAGGTCCTGATCCGAAGACAGAGCAGGGTGGGGACAAGGACAAGGACATGGACTGAGGGGACAGAGGGAACCTCAGAACCCGTAGTCACCCTCAGAGTCTTAGTCATTCACAGATAAGCCCAAAAGGGAGAGAAAATCTGACATTTAAGTCAGACGGAAGAGCACAAGGTTCCATTTTGTTTCTGCAAGTATGAGCAGTGTCCTCAGAGCAGGGAGGAGGTGCTCCGCCAAAGGCACAAAGGTGTCACCAAGTCTCAGGGGTGTTCTCGTTCATTCTGCTCATAAGACAAACAGAACAAAGACAGAAAGATAAACGGGGACTATCTGGAGAAATACTTGCTTGTCGTCTTAGCAGTCTGAAAAGGATAGATAAATAAGTATAAAAATAGGTAAAATATAAAATAAAAGATTAGATACACCACAAGGAAAGCATTTGGGGATCATTTCTAATGACAGTCGCGATGAGCCTCTACATTCTGAGCAGTAAGATTTTATCTTTAAAGCTGTCATAATAAAGATTGTAAATGTTTTTAAGTCCTCTGTTAAAATAAAAAAAACTTTTTATAAACCAAGAGCACTTGAACATAGTAAGCAGTTAAGAGTTACCCTTGCATTTTCTTCAGTGTCGAATACTAGGAAATATTGGTGGTGTGAACCCAGGAGCAGCATCTTGTGTGTTTCTGGAACGTGTGACTGTTTGTTCATCTGCTCACACTACAGTTTACATCATTCTTCTTACCCTCATTCCACACAGGGTGTTACCTGGGAAGCACCATGGCTCCTTAGTTTCAGATAATTGCACTGTCCTCAAAAATTAGGCAAACATTAAAACAAAATTCAAACTAGAGAGGTTACGACCATTTCTATCCATTTGGATGCTTAAATTTATGTTTTTTATAGTTAGTTATACAACCCTTCGTTTGTTTTCGACGGTTATTCTAGATTCTACTTCAAGAATTCGACACTCGGAAACATCAATACGAACAGCTCACAGCTGCTGGCCGGGGCATCCTGAGCAGACCTGGGGAAGACCCTTCTTTACATGGGATCGTGAACGAACAACTGGCAGCTGTGACCCAGAAGTGGGACAACCTGACGGGACAACTGAGGGACAGGTGTGACTGGATTGACCAGGCTATCGTCAAAAGCACGCAGTATCAGGGCCTCCTGAGAAGCCTTTCGGGTACCCTGAGTGAGCTGGATGACAGACTCAGCAGCAGCCTCACCGCCGGCACACTGCCTGATGCTGTGAACCAGCAGCTGGAAGCGGCCCAGAAGCTGAAGCAGGAAATCAAAGAGCAAAGCCCACACATCAGGACAGCCCAGACACTCTGTGAGGACCTGTCCGCGCTGGTCAAAGAGGGCTACTTGAAAGCAGAACTGAGCAGGCAACTGGAAGGCGTTGTAAAATCGTTCAAGGATATCGAACAAAAGACAGGTTGGTCTTTCTTTGCATATACCTATTTTCTGATAAGAAACTGTGAGCCTGTGCTGCTGTTGCAAGCGCTTGGTGATAATGCGTGACTGGGAAAGGACCCTGCTCCTCCCGTCACAGGTGGACAGAAAAAGTTCTGAGGAAGTTCTGCACAGATCAGAGATGTTCTGCACACATTCCAGACGCTGCTGATGCTTTAACTCTGGGTAGTCCAAGTTGACCTTCTAAATACATAGACACCTTTTTCTGTGTTACGTTGTCTTACTTCAGCAGAAAAGCAGATGAATAGTTGTTTGAAAGGCGTTGTGTCTTTTCTCATCTGTTATTACTGTGTATGCAGCTGTCACAGAGAGCTTTTCTAGAGAAATGTGTGGGTGTCTCTGTTTTCCTCACTGCCCTGTAGCAATAGTTCTGTGACAAACTAGGTGCAACGGCGTGCCTGAAGGGTCCTGCCAAAGAAGGACATGCTTCACTGGTCTGTTCTGTTCCACAAACTTCTAGGCCTTGCCTCTAGCCGTATCTGATCTGTTTTTTAATTGGTTCAGTGTTCATGTTGATTAGAGTAGCCATTTCAGGCTTCTTTTCCACAGAGACAGCATAGGATAGTATCCAGGACCTGCGTGTGTGGGGGTCCTGAGCTTCATCTCAGAACTGGAATTACCTGGCAAATAATTTAAGCCCCGAGAATATGGAAAAGTCGGAGAAATGGGGGGGGGGCTTGTATTTGATATGAAAAGGGTTATTGACAGCACATACAAGGCTTGCACAGGTTCAAACCAGACAAAATTCCAGCACTGAGGAGGGGAAGTGGACACACAGTCCTCAACTAACCAAGAAACTGATACAGTTTTTACTGTGGAGTGTCACTGGGTAAATCAGTCACATTCCAGTGCAGGACACACGCCCAGATGTAGTTGGTCTACAAAAAACAGATTCCATGGATTTCTGTGCATGTGTGTGTGTCTGCGTGTGCATGTGTATGTCTGCATGTGCATGCGTGTGTGTCTGCGT